GCTGGCCAGGATTTCTTGGAGTTGAAGTCCAAGAACATCTGGAGGCCCAAGGTTGGGGACCATTGCTCTACATCACTGATCTACAAGGCTATTTCACTGTAAATATCCATTATCTTGGGAAACATCTCTTAAATGTACAAGGCCTGAGCATATACATCATTCCAGTCGGTGCCCCCAAAGGATTCTTTTTAGCATTGCACTCTGCAAAGCTGGGAAAGATGGAGTTATAATCTGTCAGCACCATATTTCAAAAATACTGTTTCTAATGCAAAAATGCATTGAGGTCAAGAGGTCAACACTGGCTTACAGCAAGCCCACTAAGTCCCACTTGTAGACTGAGCATGATAATTTTAGAAAGACTCTGTTCTGCTTTACAGAAGGTGTGGACTGGATGCTATTTCTGTGTCACTAAGTCGGCGAGAGCTCTCTCTTCCTGCTTCTGCAAACTGCTATTTATAGCTTTAATCAGGAGAGAGGCCTAAACAGCAAATGTAATCTTCCTCCCCAGGACAGTTCTAAGCCACTATACAAAGGGGGGGGGGCATTTGGTTTATTTTATACATCCTGTTAGTGCCCATGCACGTAAACATGCAGTGAGAGTTTCTGTGCGTTTTGGTGGCATAGTACCAGCTCCAACACAGAAATACCGGTGCTACATTCCATAGTCATGATGACACTAAAGAATGAGTAAAGCCAAGGGATAGTTTAAAGTCATTATGATCACCTCTCTCATTACCCTGTAGTAGAGAATACACGCATGCACAGTAAAAAGAAAGTTCAAATATGACCAGGTGACTCCCAATGTACTTTCTTATCATAAGGAAATTATAAAACAAGAACACCTCTGTTTGCAAGGTGGGGCTTTGGATTGGCACTGTGGACAGTGCATTGAATTCACTGATTTCTTGCCAGTTTGAATAAAACTGAGGAAGCATATCCTAAGCCACAGAGACTTACTGTGGTGAATTCAATTCAACACTTTTTTTAAAAAATGAAACAAAAAAGGGACATCCTTTATCATCTCATTCTTTTAAAAGGTTTTGAATGGATTCTCAGAGGAATTTAAAATGGTATACATGTCTAAGTCTAATTTGTATTTTACTGTGGTTACGCCAAGTTATTTATTTTGAGGATTTTGGAGTCAGAAATCTAGAAATGAACTTACCACTTAAACATCTCTGCTCCCCTTACAGGTTCCAAGTCAAAAAAGCTATTTTGAAACACCACAATTAGTTAATACCTATAATTTGTTCCTGGGTTCAATCTAAGTGACTTCATATATACCAACAGTGTATCTATTTTGCAAATGCCAGTCCTTATGTCCCAAACGGCATGTTCTAAGTACACAGTGGAGATATCAGGTTAGTGGGAACCCTTCTCTTTACAAAAGTACAACAGAATGGGCAAAACACATATCTGGGGCAGAGTCCTGCCGCAAACATAATCCAAGAAAGACATGGAATACCAGCCAACAATCAAGAGTGGGGAATAGAAAACCAAGAGGAAGGCAATATAGAATAAACTACCCTGAAAGAAGGCAAGGTTCCAGCCATCTGCTATAAAACAAAGCATTCCACTTAGTATCCTTTGTTTTTTTTTGTAGTTCCTAATTGTAATCTATCATTGTTAAGCAGCTGCTTTGCTTGCTTGCTTGTTTGTTTAAACTAAATGGTGGCAACCAGTCTGCATGGTACCAAAGACGACAATAAAACTAATCCAATTAGTTCCTAGTAAAAATATATATATTTTATTATATTCTCTGCACCCAAAGATGGAGAAGTGCTATAAAGTCAGCAAAAATAAGACTTGGAGTTGATCGTGGCTCTGATCATCAGCTTCTTATAGCAAAGGTAAAGGATCCCCTTGACATTTTTTGTCCAGTCATGTTTGCCTCTAGGGGGTGGTGCTCATCCCTGTTTCCAAGCCATAGAGCCAGCGTTTTGTCCAAAGACAATCTTCCGTAGTCACATGGCCAGTGCGACTTAGACCCAGAACGCTGTTACCTTCCCACCAAAATGGTCCCTATTTATCTACTTGCATTTGCATGCTTTCGGACCGCTAGGTTGGCGGGAGCTGGGACAAGCGACGGGCGCTCACTCCGTTGCGTGGATTCGATCTTACGACTGCTGGTCTTCTGACCCTGCAGCACAGGCTTCTGCAGTTTAGCCCGCAGCGTCACCATGTCCCTCTTCTTATAACAAAACTCAAGCTTAAACTGAAGAGAGTAGGAAAAACCACTGGGCTAGTCAGGCATAATCTCTAAACCAAATCCCTTATGAATACACAGTGGAAGTGAAGAACCGATTTAAGGAACTAGATTTGGTGGACAGAGTGCCTGAAGAACTATGGATGGAGGCTCGTAACACTGTACAGGAGGCAGCAACAAAAATCATCTCAAAGAAAAGGAAATGCAAGAAAGCAAAGTGGCTGTCCAACGAGGCCTTACAAATAGCAGAGAAGAGAAGGGAAACAAATTTCTCTTTTGGAGATAGGCAAAGTTACAGAAAATGGAATGCAGACTTCCAAAGAATAGCAAGGAGAGACAAGAGGGCCTTCTTAAACGAACACTGCAAAGAAATAGAGGAAAATAATAGAAAGAGAAAAATCAGAGATCTGTTCAAGAAAATTGAAGGAACATTTTGTGCAAAGGTGGACATGATAAAGGACAAAAATGGAAGAGACCTCACAGAAGCAGAAGACATCAAGAAGAGGTGGCAAGAATACACAGAGGAATTATACCAGAAACATCTGGATGTCCCGGACAACCAGATAGTGTGGTTGCTGACCTTGAGCCAGACATCCTAGAGAGTGAAGTCAAGTGGGCCTTAGAAAGCATGGCTAACAACAAGGCCAGTGGAGGTGATGGCAAGAAAGCCAGAATTCCAGAAAAACATCTACTTCTGCTTCATTGATTATGCAAAAGCCTTTGACTGTGTGGACCACAACAAACAATGGAAAGTTCTTAAAGAAATGGGAGTGCCTGACCACCTTATGAAAAACTTATACGTGGGACAGGAAGCAACAGTTAGTACTGGATATGGAACAACGAATTGATTAAAAATTGGGAAAGGAGTATGACAATGCTGCATATTGTCTCCCTGCTTATTTAACTTATATGCAGAATACATCTTGCAAAAGGCTGGACTGGAGGAATCCCAAACTGGAATTAAGATTGCCAGAAGAAATATCAACAATCTCCGATATGCAGATGATACCACTCTGATGGCAGAAAGTGAAGAGGAATTAAAGAACCTCGTAATGAGGGTGAAAGACAAAAAATGGTCTGAAGCTCAACATCAAAAAAACTAAGATCATGACCACTGGTCCCATCACCTCCTGGCAAATAGAAGGGGAAGATATGGAGGCAGTGACAGATTTTACTTTCTTGGGCTCCGTGATCACTGCAGATGGTGACAGCAGCCACAGAATTAAAAGACGCCTGCTTCTTGGGAGGAAAGCAATGACAAACCCTGACACCATCTTAAAAAGCAGAGACATCACCTTGCCAACAAAAGTATGCGTAGTCAAAGCTATAGTTTTTCCAGTAGTGATGTATGCAAGTGAGAGGTGGGCCATAAATAAGACTGACAGGTAAACAATTGATACTTTTGAATTGTGATGCTGGAGGAGATTCTTGAGAGTCCCCTGGACTGCAAAGAGAAGAAACCTATCCATTTTGAAGGAAATCAACCCTGAGTGCTCACTGGAAGGACAGATTCTGAAGCTGAGGCTCCAATAATTTGGCCATCTCATGAGAAGAAAGACTCCCTGGAAATGACCCTGATGCTGGGAAAGGCAAGAGAAGGGGCCGACAGAAGACGAGATGGTTGGACAGTGTCATTGAAGCTACCAACATGAATTTGACCCAACTCCGGGAGGCAGTGGAAGACAGGAGGGCTTGGCGTGCTCTGGTCCATGGGGTCACAATGAGTCGGAGACGACTTAACGACTAAACAAAAAAAATATTTAATCTCTAAAGGTCAGATAGCACAAGATGCTACTTCAATGCTAAATACAATTGAGTAAGGATGGTCCCCATCTGCACAAAGTGTTTAAAATAAACTAAAACACTCCTATTATCTTCCAGGGTGACATGATCTTTCGTAGCTACCTCTCACTTTCAATCAACCCCAAATCAACTATGCTGGATGGTTCCCACTGCCTCATGCTGGATGGGCTTGATGGGAGTTATAAACCAAAACGTCTGGAAGGCCTGCTTTAATTGGGATCCAGGGGACCCAAAGCACTTTGAACTGCCTGCCTTCAAGAACCACAGTGAAAAGGTCAAATTCAACAGTGGTAGAAGACTGTCCGCAATTTCACTCCTACAGAAAGAGCATCATGGCTCCAAATTATAAGGAAAGCCCTTTCAATGCATCTGTTTGGCATTTTGCATCCACTGCCTTAGCACAAGCTCTCCACAACATAGAAATTGTCTTTCTTTGCTTTAACGTACTGGAGCCTTTAGACACTATGAGGTGGAGGTCATTCACTGGAAAGACAAGTGTCTGTTCCCAGTTCAACCCCCTGCATGCACAAAGACTCTGAACATAAGAGAATGGTTACCTGTGTGAAACATCAGCCATATTACTGTGGAGATTATGACACATACAACTGCAACAGAAAGCTGGTTAAAATAGCAACGCTACCAAGCTGATTTGTTCAAAGCTAATCCACCTTTCATAATCTGGGCGCACTGTGTTACTCCGCATGCCGTGTGACTGAGGATGGGGGAGGAAGGAAATCATGACACTTACCTAAATTAAGGAATTCTGTGCTGGAGGAAGGAGGTGGTGCACTGTGTGCGGAAGGAAACATACCGGATATAGTTGCCGCATTTGGACTGAGGAAGTCGCCAAAGAGGTCGGGACCAGCAAGAGACGGATTGTCTGGCGTGACTGTGAATGGGTCAAATGGATCCGCTAAAGACGGAAACAGACAGTGCTGGTGTTACTTGAGAGGAGGCCTCACACAATAAGTCACACAAAAAGAAGATGAAGAGTGACATGCTTAGGATAGCATAAATGGTTGTGCACACTGTTGACTTTGTTACAAAACCATTTATTTTATTTTTAATTTTTATTTATTTATCAGATTTCTATCCCGCCCTTTTAGACAAAGTCTACTCTGGGTGGGTTCCATCAAACATTATAAGCTAAAAAGAGTTAAAACCAATTAAAACAAGTATAAACAACAGTAATAAGCAATGGTTAGTAGAGCTCAAGATGGAAAAACAGAAAATTATAGTAAAAATAAAGTCAAGTATTGACAGGAGGAAGGCCTGCCAAGAGAGCCAATTTTTTTGGCTCTTTCATGAGGCCATTCTGACTTCATGAGCACCATCAGTTTGGGGAAGCATTTCATATTAAAGCATCTTCTTCCCAGTCTGCGTCTCGGCCTCCCACCCTCGAAATAAGGGCTTACATGCTATTACATAACCTGAGGATTTGGATTTCTGCCAATTGACAGGAAGCAAAACAATCTGTCAAGATAAGTCCTCAGACCCCTGCCTACATTCCATCCTGCTAAGTCCCCCAGCTCCTGATGGGGAAAACCCTGCAACCCCTAAAATATGAATTGATCTGCAAAGACTCGATTTATCATTCTGCACAGGAAAAACCCAGTTAAAAAGTGATATCACTACAGAATAATCAGCAGAGCGGGAGCTGGCCAGGGGCTTCTAGGAAAAAAAAATAACCCAACTGGTCTAATAGTCACCCTAGTAGCAGTTTGAAAGTCATACTGTACCCGTCTGGATGGAAGGCATAGCTGGTATTTTCAGAATCGCAAGCAACAGGGCAACCAAGCAGGCAGAAGGGATGCAGAAAGGCAGTCTCTAGACAGAAAGTCTTTCCCTGATCACTGTCCAGCAGGAGATAATTGGAGCCGCTCAGGGAACAGTATTTATACTCAACAGGGAGTGGCATGCCATGGTCAGCAGGGATCGCGGCCAACTCTCTCTACCTTGCGGCTGTCGTACTCAAAGGTCAAAATCTCTTAAGAATCAAGCCTGTTCTGACACTCTCACTCTTACAAGCGTAGAGGCAGGCACATTCGGTCGGGAATCATGTGCTGCCCATTGCTGAAATACCACACCAAGCTTTTCCCTGCCACGGCAAGCATATACTTAGTCTCCCCCCCCCTTTCCCCAAACACACTCATTTTCACCATACATCAGTAGAATTGAATAATGAACGAGCAAGTTGTCCGAACCAGTGGACATTTCTCATATTCATCTTGCATTAGTAAGCATTCTAAACAATCACAGTACTGTTGCCCTCATGGGACACCAAGATCTATTTGCAAACACCAGAACAATGTGCTTTTCAAAAGCATTTTGTGTGTTCGGCGGTATGGGCTGGGAGAGAGGGTTGCCATGTGACAAAGTCATACTACTTCTGCCCATCACCCACCCAGTCAAGTTCCATCACATTTCCAACTAACAGAACAGAATATGGGGGAAAAAGTGATTAGTGCTCATACTGGCTCTAGGATTGTGGGGGGTCTGTAGTCCAAAATTAAGCTTTCGAAACCAGGGTGGATATGATTTAAATCCATTTGATTTAATCATGATTTCAATTTTTTTAAAAAAATGAATTTTTGACCATTTAAATAAAAAAAAAATCTATTTTTAACATTTACATCATGATTCAAATTAATTTGATTTTCAAAAATCATTGTTTTTTTAATGCACCCTGAAACTCTGCATCAGAAGACGTGATACTTTTAGAAGGATGAGCCTGCTTAAGTCCAGCAAATATTGATGACCTCTCCAAGAAAATAAACTTCTCATGCATATCACCTTCAACGTGAACATCATCTTTTTCTGGGGGCACAATTTCCAGAAACATCTTGATTGAAATTCCTGGATGAGTTATAATGAGAACAGACCAGCATACCCTGTTGACCAAAAGCCAAATGATAGGTCCAGAGCTACCAGAGAGTGACAGGAACTTTTTCAGTGGGGCTGCCAGGATGCGGAATCTCCTAAACAACCTACTGGAGTCAGCCGGGTTTCCCAGCCAGAGTAGGTGTGTAACAGATCAATGAATTCCCAACAAGAAACCCAACCACTGGAGATAATCCCTACCAAGAAAAAAAAATCTAATTATCACAATAATTTTGTACTATAGTTAACTTAAAGTAGCTTGCCCAATTTGGCACTGTCCAGATGTCTCTTATAAGAATACCCATCATTCACAGCCAATGCAGCAAAAGAGGACAATGGGAAGCTGTAATGCTTCTTTATGGTTGGTTGAGGATGGCTGGCTTAGAAACAAATCTCCTGCAGATCTTCTTCACCAGGGGTAAATCTGTTATCCTTTCTCTGAGAAAGAGATGGGACATTTGGGGCTCACACACAGCATCTTCCATGCCCACAAAAGATGCAACAAGGCCTCCTGTACTAGTATATGAGATCACCCTGAAACTGTAAATGTGCCCATTTCCTTTTCCATTTGAGAAGAATTCACAGATCAGCATGTTCTAACAAGTAGATAAATATTTCATAATCCTCATTTCCTAAAATAAAAATTAAAAAAGTCAAGGCAATACCAAAAGCGGCCCTGTCAACTAAGGTTTTCTGAATCTTGAAGCCTCAACACACTGAATGTCTGCTAGAGTAAGAAACCAATACCTCTGGTGTTGCTTGTGATTATCATGCTGAAACCTGTAGTCCAGCAATGTCTAGAAGGATTATACATAGCTTATTGCATTTAAGGATACTCAGTATGCTGCAGTGGATAAAGTGATGGACTAGAGCTTAGGAGCCTGAATTCCTGTTCAGCCACTGAAACTCACTGGGGGTGCAGAACAGGCAAAACCACTTCTTAAATATCTCACTCACCTGGAAAGCTCCACTGGGGTTGCTATAAGTTAGTTTTGATTCGATGGCACACAACAACACAGCAACATCTCATCTAAAGACTTAGCATGATTGAAAACTGAACAGAGGACCGAGCACAATAAAAGTAAAGCGGTTGTGTCACTTTACATCCGAACCCCAGTGAAAAGGAAGACCTGGTTACATACCTCCAGAAGCAGAGGCAGCTCCTGCTGAGGGCGCGCTGCTTCCTGGGGGTTGTGTCGAGGACTGGGACTGGCCCCCGAAAAAGAAATCCGCCCCTCCTCCCAGAAGGTCTGCAGTAGAGTCTCTGGAAGTCTCGGCCGTTCCACCCACAAACAGGTCGTTCAGCAAGTCTGCATTGCTTGAAGAGCTCTTCATTTCTGAAGGAGGCTGGAGGCATTCTGGGGGTGCTTCTGAATCCAACCCAAGCAAATCAACACTGTCTTCCACAGGAATCTCTTCTGCCGGAGCAGCTGGAGTGTCAAAGTCAGCTTCAAAAAGCTGTTCGTCGTCTTCCTTGTCTGGCGTGCGTTCTTCCTCTTCCTCAGCTGGCCTGACATCACCAGGAAAGGCAGCAAATTCTTCATCAGAAAGCTCACTGTCCTCCCTCTCCTCAATAGGGCCAGGACTTCCTTTGGAAAAGTGAGCCTCAGGGCCCCCTTCAGCATTTCTGCCTTCTGTTCAGGAAAGAAGGCACCATGACATTCTGGTAACAACTTTAAGTGGTGCCATTCCTCCAGCCAACTACCACCATATTTTTCCATGTATAAGACGATACTTTTGTCTAAATTCTTCAGACTAAAAATTGAAGGTCATCTTATACACGGAAGTAAGCTGAGGAGAGAACAAAAACAAGTGGAGGGGGAAAGGGATCAAAGCGATCCTGCAGCATTTTGATCCCTGCTTTCCCCTCCACTTGCTAAGCCCCACGGGTGAAGGTTCCAATTTGTACTGGTAGCCCAGATATGCGGGGTATAAATCAAATTATTCCACACACCTCGTTCTTTCCACAGGCTTCTCTCAGATCTACTTCACCACCATGTCAACAAAGTGCCAAATGTGGAGTGGGAACTCCAGTTGCAGATCCCCATTCTTGTTGAAGGGAAATCGGGGAATGTTCCAGGAGCAGAACTGACCAGAGGAGAAGCGATGCTTTATGGGACAAAGGGGTGCTTTGGAAGCCCATATCCAACAAACTCAAAAGGAAACCAGTAGGGAAGCAAGTACGCAGGAGTGGGCAAAGCATGGCCTTGGGACTACATGTGGGCCCTCCCAAGTTGTTTTTTGGAGATATCAGCCACCCCCAGCCCACTCAGTTTCCAGCAAAAAGGATCAGGAGTGGTGATTCAAATCAGTCACAGCCCCTTCTTCCAAACTGTTGAATACCCAACATGCTTATTTTTCACAACTGAAAACTGATTCATGGCCACTTCTTTCTTTCTATGCTTCTTCGCCCTCCAGAGCAAAAAGGTGCAGGAGCAGAAAGCTTGTCCTGTGGAAACTGCCCACCCCTGGTTCTATCCCTCTAGTAAAGCACTGGTAGACAGCTGTGGTCCTCTAAAGCAGTGGTCCCCAACCTTGGGCCTCCAGATGTTCTTGGACTACAACTCCCAGAAGCCTTCACCAGCACCTCTGCTGGCCAGGATTTCTGGGAGTTGAAGTCCAAGAACATCTGGAGGTTCTAACCCATAATGCCTATTAGCTTTAGCCAGCCTAGTTTCTTTTAAAAGAATTAAAACAGAGGAAGCAAAGAGAAATGCCACCTCATTTTCATTAATCTGCAGTGAGAGGAGCTTCTCTAGGGTTCAAGCCGTCCAACCTTGGATAGCCCCTTAACTGAAGGCCGGCTGTTCAGGTGCAGCCAGAAAAGGAGCAGAGTATGCAAAGTAACATTCCTCCGGAAACCCCTGGACCACCACGAGGCTCCTGCAGGCTCCTGACCATGTTGCAGACTACAGCTTTCCTGAGCAAAATCATCAGCCTCGTTGTTGGCACCTTCTGAAGGATTTTAAGACGTTAAGTATACACAAAGTATTGTCCTTGTGGATTTTTCAATTGTTGGAGGGAGAATTCTTAAAGCCAGTGAAGAAAAGAAAACACAGCACAGAGCAAGGCCACCCTCTTGACTCTGCTGAAAAAAGACAAACCCTACCCAGCACCTCCATCTGTCAAGAATATCAGCACTCCGTCAGCTCTGGTGACATACTAGCTCACTCCTCTACTCCCCTCTTAAACTACTTCCGTACTACTGAGATGTTACAGTAACTTCTCTAGACCATTACTTTAAGAATTATTTTCCTATGCTCTCCATATCCTTTTTTAATCCTGCATCATACCCCTGAGATTATAAACTGGCAGGCAAGGCCTTTCTTTCTTTCTTTCTTTCTTTCATTCTTTCTTTCTTTCTTTCTTTCTTTCTTTCTTTCTTTCTTTCTTTCTTTCTTTCTTTATTTATTTATTTATTTATTTCATTCATTCATTCATTTATTTGCTGGTCATATATAAGCTACTCTGGGAGACTCCTTAGCACAAAAGCAGAGGAAACATCCCTTAAAGGCAGGCAAGCCAACAAGCAAACAAACAAACAGCCTATTAAGTAGCTGGTTCTTTCACCTTGCCAGTCCAGCGTATGGAAGAAATTGGCCTCCATGCCGCTGCTCTGTGGTGATTCTGGCTCCACAGGTGTACTTTCAGAAGACGGTTCAGACTTGGATGCCTCTGCTTCGTACTGGGCTGTTGACCCTGGCTGTCTGGGCAGTTCAGGCTTACCTACAAGGTGAGAATTCAAACCCAAGACATTTAGCAACACCCCTTTCTAGCCTCCCTCCCATTATGGTGGGTGAATGTATTTAATAGAACCCATATTACAAATTAAGACACACACACATATACACATAAACAATGGTGGAAGGTTTTGAATCTAGTAGCATTTTTTCTTTACCAAATTTCGTTAAAATCTCTTGCTGTTCCTCACGGCTGGAGAAAAGGATCTTGGGGTTCAAACCCTTGATGTTCAAGTTATCCCAAGGGGCTCGCTCAGTGCTGGGCCTGTCCCGTGGTTCCACTTCAACCTCTAGATTCACTTGGAACAAGTCGGGATACTTCTCCTGAATGTCACAGGCATCCAGGTCATATCTGCAGCAATTTTACACAGTTAGGAAAGCACCATTTGTTTTTATTTGAAATGAGAGCCTAAACCACCCTGAAACAGTCTTGTTCAATCAAGCTGCACCACAATGTCCACAAGCATTCCCCTTTTATTTCAGTTGTGCTTGCCAGGCACACCTTCCAACAGATTGTGCAGTTAGATATTACTTATTTATTTGCTTGGTATTATCTAACACCAGTGTGGTTTAGTGCAGTGGTTCTTAACCTTTGTTACTCAGGTGTTTTTGAACTGCAACTCCCAGAAACCCCAGTCAGCACAGTTGGTGGTGAAGGCTTCTGGGAGTTGCAGTCCAAAAACATCTGAGTAACAAAGGTTAAGAACCAGTGGTAGTGGACAGAATAATAGGCTAAGGAGACCAGGGTTCAAATCCCCATTCAGCCATGGAAGGCCACTGAAACAACTCCTTAAGTATCTAATTCACCTTGAAAGCCCTATTAGAATTGCTATGAGTCAGTTATGACTTGACAGCACATACGCACAATGACCCCACATAAACTCTCCTAGAGCAATGAAATATAAGAATAATCCGTTCCAGCAAAATCGCTGTAGAACGAAATCGTCGTCAAGCGAAAGTAAAAAGCCCATTAGAATGCATTAGAAACCAGTTAATGCGTAAATCAATTATTTAACGACCCCACAAAAACTCTCCTAGAGCAATGAAATATAAGCCTAAAAGCATTTTTGTAAATCATAAAAATCTTCCACTCCTTCTTAACAAAAAATAAACAAATCAGATTGACAGAGCTATCATATGAAAAATATATTGGAAGTAAGTCCTAGTATGTTTGAGTCTTTGTACGTATATACAGTGGTGCCTCGCTTGACAAGAATAATCCGTTCCAGAAAAATCGCTGTAGAACGAAATCGTCGTCAAGCGAGAGTAAAAAGCCCATTAGAATGCATTAGAAACCAGTTAATGCGTTCTAATGTATGAAATACTTCAGCGTCCAGCAAAGATCCTCCATAGGGTGGCCATTTTCAAGTGCCTGTAATCCAAGGAATCCGTCCTAAAACACAGCGGGGAGCCATTTCGCACAGTGGGCAGCCATTTTGAAGAGCTGACGATCAGCTGTTTTGATAGTCGTTAAGTGAAAAATCGGTTCCCGAAGCAGGGAACCAATCGTCGTAAAGCGGTTTTTCCCTCTTTAAACATTGTTTTGCGATCGCAAAAGCGATCGCAAAAACTTCATCATTAAGCTATTTCCTCATCTAATGAGGTAATCGTCAAGTGGGGCACCACTGTAATGTTAAGACAGGCTAATCAAAACAGTTTTCACCACAGATAATCGTAAGCAGACATTACTGGTCTCAAAATAAATACAATGTAACAGAAACAGAAACAGAAACAGAAACATATACATATACATATACATATAGAGCACTCCCCTGCACTCCCATGTTGAAAGCCTATGATACTTGCTGCTCCTGTTCCCTTCTGTCCCACTGCATGCCTATGATAGCTGCATTGCCAATGTCTATTAGGAATGTACCAGTCATGTTTTTTGACTTCCACTCCCAGAATCCTCCAACATGGTTGCCATGTTAACTACACTAACCTGGAAACATATTGGTATAAATATGCTTTCAAGTACATGAGTGATTGGAAAAACTCTGCCTGCACTGGTAATTGTGGAAACAATCTTCCCCTTCAGCAGACTTTCCTTTGCATGTCTGCTTTTGTAGCCAATGCACAACTGGCTGTGCAATAGACAACATACTCCAGAGGGAAACACTGCACAAGGAAATTGTGCAAACATAACCCTATTTTTTGCACAAGACTTGTACAAGCCACATAATTTATGAGTCCCTCCTTAGTACCTCCCACCTTGCATATTAATTCTGCTTACCCAGCTATACCAGTGTTCTAGTAGTATGCCCTTAACCTTCAACATGGGTTCATGATAAACCTGCAACATACTCCAGAGGGAAACACTGCACAAGGAAATTGTGCAAACATAACCCTATTTTTTGCACAAGACTTGTACAAGCCACATAATTTATGAGTCCCTCCTTAGTACCTCCCACCTTGCATATTAATTCTGCTTACCCAGCTATACCAGTGTTCTAGTAGTATGCCCTTAACCTTCAACATGGGTTCATGATAAACCTGAAGCCTCAAATGTACAGGCCACATAATTTATGAGTCCCTCCTTAGCACCTCCCATCTTGCAGATTAATTCTGCTTACCCAGCTCTACCAGTGTTCTAGTAGTATGCCCTTGACCTTCAACATGGGTTCATGATAAACCTGAAGCCTCAAACTCATTTTCAGAAACCAAAATTTAAAATTTGTCTTAACTCAAGTTAGTCTTGGAGTGGCCAGATGCAATGTCAAGTGCTGTTGAGCAGTGGTGAAAATCTGCAGGACAGAGAGAGGGGCCACGAATCCTAGAATCCCCACCACAATCAGTATGTCCAGTATTATACAATCTGAGGATTCTGGGAACTGTAGACCCCAAAATTTAACGTCTCTAAGCTCTGAGAATGTCCATATTAGGACCAAATAGGAATGGGACATGCATTTCCCAGCACCCTGCCGTTTCTTTAAACACTGGTTCACATTGTATTTGTACTAGTCCAGCGTAAAATGCATGACGGAGGAAGAATGTCAACGGAAATATCCATTTAAAAACCCAACCACAAGTGCAAGACGGCAACTCTGTCCCATTAATTAAAATCATACATGGCTGTATTCCTTGCAGTTATGTTGGGAGGTTCTTTCCAAAGAGGTCATCAACATACTTTGCAAATTTCACAGTTGTGGCATTCCGAGGGACAAATCCTGTATGAAACTGGATCTGGAACATCTTCATTGATGCCATCTTATGGAGGAGTAGAAAAATGAACAGAATTTATAAGGGGGACAGCAGATGTTGGAGGCATTAATATTACTCAAGGCATTTGACTCTTGCTCAGCTATGTTGCTGTGAATTTAGTGAATGTGTCGCTTTATGTCACAATAATTTATTTATCACTCCTCCTGTATAATTAGTAACAGTTTTCTTTATGCTTTGCAGGTACAGGCAGACAACAATAATCAGGATTGTCAAATTAAATGAGCAAGTACATTCTTTGACTTAGTAACTAGATATTATAGCAAACAAACATACCTTCGAAGAACCATGTAGCATTCAACACAACAGCATTCAGATTGGCTAACTATTGATCCTGTTGCCTGGGAAGCATACCTTCGAAGAACCATGTACGTAGCATTCAACACAGCAGCATTCAGACTGGCTAACTATTGATCCTGTTGCCTGGGAATTTTAAGTCCAACAACAAGGTTGGGAACTACGGCTCTAAAACAGTGGCTCCCAAGAGGTTCTTGGAGTCAAACTCTCAGAAACCTTCACCGCTAGCTGTGCTGGCCAGGATTTCTGGGAGTTGTAGTCCAAGAACATCAGGAGACCCAAGGTTGGGAAATATTGCTCTAGAGCAGTGGTCCCCAACCCTGGGCCTCCAGATGTTCTTGGACTTCAACTCCCAGAAATCCTGGCCAGTAGAGGTGGTGATGAAGGTTTTGAGGTTCTTGGAGTCAAACTCTCAGAAACCTTCACCGCTAGCTGTGCTGGCCAGGATTTCTGGGAGTTGTAGTCCAAGAACATCAGGAGACCCAAGGTTGGGAACTACTGCTCTAGAATATAAAAGGTACATGTTTACAACTATTGCCTTACCTTGGCTTGGAGTCTGCCACCTAAGGTGGACCTGGCATGATAGATTACAACAAGTACATCTCCTTGGACTGTTACGCCTAATGGGATTACTGCTTTGCCATCTTCTATTTTAAAATCCCTGAGGGAAGGGAAAAGCAAGAATCATTAAGTTAAAGTTTGGTAGCAACCGGAATTCATAAACAATAGAATGACAGAATACTGAGGATGATTCCTTCCAGTCCCTCCCCTTCAAGACAGCTTTGGAATGCCAAGACTTGGTTGGCTCCCAACTGGGCTTGGAGGCCATATTGTAGCCAAGGTACAAAATGTGCCATTGGAAAAAATAAAATAAAAGCAAAATGTTTATTTGCTAGGGAACAGAATTAAGTTTCACTTTAGGATGAGACTTCAGCTATATGTCAGACTTCAATGTTTGCTTCTAAATGCTGACAGAAGCCAAGATGAGCGGACGTCAATCTGCCTGCAGTGTTATCTATGTTTGTGAGAGACTGGCTTTTCATGAAGAAATTGCATGTTAAAATCTAACTCTGGATCCAGAGAGATTGGCCTGAGAGGACCAAGACAGGCCACTAAAAGTACGTGGGAGAAACTTGTTTGATTCACATTTTAATATGACCCAACCTAATTTGTACTAATTATAGGGAATGCAATGCAACTGTCCTTCAGCTGTCGTAGTTCTACACATTTTGCAATGCAGTTCTCCCATTTAAAAATTTGTACAAAAATGCACATCATTATGGATCACTAGGCACATAAATGCTTATCTTTTTATACATGCCTTTTTGTACACTTCTCTCCAATTGTATGCCTTTAAGCATACACTCAGCCTAGGAATTTGTGGCCAGAACCTGAACCAAAGTCACAAGTTCTGGCACATAAAAATCCACTCCTGGCTTTCCCCCAATTCTTTTTCAGCAGACTAATTTAGAGGAAGGAAAACTTCTCAGTTTTTGCTGCTGGAAAGCAACCAGGAGGTGGAAGCCCATTCTCATTCATGCAAATCAATTTGATCTACCTTCTGTCCAATTCCAGTTGAAGAAACATAAATTCAAGTATTTCAGAAGCAAACAGCATTTGTGGAATTCCAGCTATAGTATTACATACTGGTACTTGTAGTAACTCTCTGTAGTGCTTTCAATTCAGCTGGTCTTTATAAGAACTCTGTAAGTGTAAGGAGCAGTGCATAACTTTTTGTTTTGTCTCCTTCTTGCTTACCTCTTCCTTATCTTCTGAATTGTAAATCTAGGGGCACAGACTGTATTTCTTTTTTCTTTTTAACTTGAAATCACTTTGAGGGTCACTGGTTGAACAGAGGGTAAAGAAATATTATAGATAAAGTAATCTACTTTGTTAGCATATACTTGATCAAGTGGGCTTTACCTGATGAAGGCTCAAGCCACAATAAATGTTGTTTAGATGCCAAGATGCACTGGGCTTTTAATGGTTGCTGTTCACTTTGCTGGAAGTGATTAAACAGCTGTCCTTTAGAACTGGCACTTACTTCATTTTATCATATTCTTGTGAGGTTGTGGCAACTCTTTCATCCCCAACATAAACTTCACAGAAAGGTCTGCAGCCATTGCGCTGTTTGCTGAAAAGAGGGACTGGGGTCATGACGACAGATTTGATGAGAATTGGCTTGCTGTGAGGGATAATGGGTTCTTCTGCCATCATGTCACACATATATTCAATATATCTAGGAAAAAACATAAAAATGTATCCAAAATGTACCATGGGTAAGTCAAGCCAGGTGTATGGAGCTGAAGTATTACAATTCCTTCAGCACCACATTCACATATGTCTACCTCACATTAACCTTGCACGTCAGTCCATATTAATCCTTTTTTTAAAAAATAACCAAACATGGGAAGATTATCTGCTTTAAACCTTTTCTCACATATTTTCAAATGATATGGGTGGGGGGACCTAGTTTTAATTAGTAAAACCTTCCTTGGAGGTTTGCATGCCATATGCAGCAAGATAAGTCACTGATTCACAGGCAGGCCTTGCTGAAGGTAACCCAACCCACATAAGGAATTGTGGGAGTTGTACTCCAAAACACCTGGGTGGGCCAGGATTCTTCAACACCTCCTTTCTAGAGAAGGTCAAAGCATGCTGCTTATATACCGCCTCACAGCGCTTAAAGCACTCTCTGGGTGGTTTACAAGTTAATTATGCGGGCTATACATCTCCCGCCCCACCCCCCAGCTAGCTGGGTACTCATTTTACTTACCTCAGAAGGCTAGAAGGCTGAGTCAACCTTGAGCCAGCTACCTGTGATTGAACCCCAGGTTGTGAGCACAGTTTTGGCTGTAGTACATTGGCTGCAGCAGATTAATCACTCCATCACGAGGTCTCCTGTGGCTCACCCATATTTTGATGTTGGGACTTAAATGCCAATATTCAAATTCTTTGACTGTAGGTAGAAATCTCTTTTGGGGGAGGTGACTCTCGCCGTGAAGAGTGAGGTTCGCAGCTTGGGAGTACATCTGGACCCGGTGCTCACCATGGAAACCCAGGTGGCGTCAGTGGTCCGCTCCGCCAATTACCATCTGTGGCAGATTGCCCAGCTGCGCCCCTATCTTGATGGCGGGGCCCTCACCACTCTGGTCCATGTGCTTGTAATCTCGAGATTAGACCACTGTAATGCGCTCTACGTGGGGCTACCTTTGAGATTAATGTGGAAGCTTCAAATGGTGCGGAATGCGGCAGCGAGATTACTTAGTGGAACGAGAAAATTCCAGCATATCTCTCCCATTCTGGCTGCTTTGCATTGGCTGCCCATTCGTTTCCGCACTGACTTCAAATTGTTAATGATGACATACAAAGACCTAAATGGTTTAGGACCTCGATACCTGGCAGAATGCCGTCTTCCACTTAGATCTACTCAAGTCACTCGCCATAGCCAGGAAAGAGGGCTGAGGGGCCTGATGCCGAGAGAGGCCTGGAAAGAAAGAACAAGAAACCGGGCCTTGTCGGCAGTGGCCCCTCAACTATGGAACAGCTTGCTGCCAGAGATCTGCCTGGCCCCCTCGCTGGGTGTTTTCAAGAGCCAATTAAAAACTTGGCTCTTTAGGCAGACCTTCCCTCTTGCCAATACATGATTTTTATTTTTCTTGGTTTCGTTGCTTATCCTCCATCTTGGTTATATTATTATTGTAGATTTTAATTGTTGTTTTACTTTTTTTTATGCCCAATATATTGTGTGCCGCCCTGAGTAGACTCCTGTCTAGAAGGTTTTTTTTAATGCACAATATATTGTGAGCTGCCCTGAGTAGACTCCTGTCTAGAAGGGCGGGATAAAAATCCAACAATCAATCAATCAATCAAGATCATGCAAATTGGCTCCAATGCTCAACCTGCTTCACCACTGTTTATATTTGCATAGGGTGTGCATATACTAGGTCCATTTTTGCATAGCAAGTCCAACATCCTTTGCCCAAACATAACGTGAGCACAGTTTTCAAGAAACTGGAAATGTTTCTGTAAACACCTCACCTCTTATGTGATGGCCAGATACCTGGGGGACAGCGCTTCATACTAAACATATAAACAGCAGCTTCAGCAGTAGTGAAAAGACGACAGAAACACAGAAAAGAACAGACAACAACAGCTGATGCTGCTCTTCCATCCTACACACACAAAAACAAAAGAGAGAGAGAGAGATTAAAATAACCCCAAAATCCAGGAAAAAGGTAAAAGTTTAATTACGCTAACTAAAGGCAGAGAAATTCCATTTCCACTTGGCATCTCCACTCCACCCCACTGACTCACTAAGGATTTTGACTTAATCAGCAATTTTTTTTGCGCTAGAAGATACAGCAAGCTTTGCTGAAGCTACAGAAACATTTCAAAACCAACTGCCATTTACAACCAAAAAAAGTGGCACCTTAAAAATATTACTTGGACTAAATATTCATGGACCAATTTCCGATGAAGACTTCTTTGGAGTTTTATTTATTTTTATTCTGGAAAGTTTATCCTGGAATAGATGGCCAAAGGACAAGACCACCCCTTTGGAAATTGCTACTTACAAGGCAGTGAACGACGCAAACATTCTTTGGGTCTTGCTTCAGCCATACGTGCATGTTCTTGCAAACAGTATAAAGGTTCTGAAGACTTGGGGCACGCCTTGCTGGCCAGCCACATTCAGACACCTGTTTTAAAGATAGCACCAGATAGGAAAGAAGAATATTAGCTAGAGAGGAATTCTTGAATTTAATTACTTCTGCAGCATGCAAAGAACAAACATTCCAAGCACACCTGACTCCTGCACGCCAAAGCAACTCACACATCCTGGTGGCCTGTTTAGAAGTCCAGATTTTTGACCTAGAACTCTCATTCTGAACACCATCACTGGCACAATAGTTAACTGCAGTTAAGTCTCTGCTCACAACCTGAGTTCAATCCTGACGGGCTCAGGTAGCCAGCTCAAGGTTCACGTAACCTCTATCCTTCCGAGGTCCCTAAAATGAGTACCGAGCTCGTGCGGGGGAGGGGGTGGCACAATGTTGCTTCCGTAATTATGTTGTAAACTGCCCACAGAGTGCTCTAACACTAGGAGGTGGTATATTTTGTAATAAGAAGGAGGAGGAGGGGGGAGGAGGAGGAGGAGGTTACTTTTTAAAAGTGATTTCATATTTTACACATTGTACACACACTTACTTTGTGGAGGTGGTATATTATGTAATAAGGAGGAAGGGGGGAGGAGGAGGAGGAGGTTACTTTTTAAAAGTGATTTCATATTTTACACATTGTACACACACTTACTTTGTACAAGGCACTTACTTTTACAAAACAAGTGTTTAGTGACTTTTTACACTGCTTGTTGCTTTTCCATTCTCTTTTTTTAAGGGCAAAAAACATTAAAGAAAATAACATAAAATGTGGGAGGAAAATCCACTTGAAATGTCACTAGAAAACTTTAAAAATGTTACTTATTGTATCACCGAAGACCCCAACGTTTCAATTTGTTATACTACGGGTACTTTTGAAATGTATTCTTATTACACCTTTGATACAAAAAGAAAAAAGAAATAGTGATTCACAGGGAACAGCCTTACTTGTATCTTATTATGTCCTGGTTCTGGGCCATCCCTGCCAGGACTCCTGGCCCAAAGCTTGGGAATGCTCCATTTTTCGATGGCAACCCAAATCCTCTTGCTTAGTTATGCTTTTTGAGGCAAACTGATGCGCGTTAAAAAAATCCCTGTAGCCACTGCCAGTCGCATGCTGAGTCACACAGCTCCATATGCAACGGGTAATGTCTATGATGATTTTTTAACCTAAGGCTATTTAACTCCAAATGTTACACAGTCTGTGTGACGCCAATGTAACTACACAAGGGGATTTGCATCTGTAACTTCCTGAATCCTTCAGATAGTATGTTCATGGGTTCGCAATATGTCCACATGAGCCACGCTGGCTGGCAGATTCTAGGAGCTGTGGTCCATATTTCCAACCTCTGTGCTAGCAGCAGATATTCTAAAGAGTGTGGTGCCTTCCTGTCTTTTCCCTGAGACCAAAAAGGTCACTTTTTTGAACCAAGGCTCCCACATCTCCTAGAAATGTTATTCATTTTTGTTCTGAACACAAGATATTCTATTGGACCATCAAGACCTATACAGGGTTGGTACACATGTTCTCCATGACCAGGTCTGATACACTATTACGCCTACCTCGGGATGGCCATCACATTTTGCCATAGTTAGTTTCAAAATTGTCAGCCTTAAGCAATGGAACAGAAACCAAGGGTTGGGAAGAAGAACTTTAAATAAAAAATGATTAATAATTACTGTTATAAGCTACCCATTCAATTAAATGATAACCTTGGTAGCAGGAAGTTCAAATAGTCCTCTTTCTGCATTGCAGCACTCTTGTAATTTCACACAAATTGAACATGCAATGGGTTCACACTGGGAAAGTATCACAACATATCAGCAAACAAATGGCAGCAAAGCAGCGCTGGTGTACAAACCCGATTGTGAAATCTTGAAGGCCTGTACGTTCTGGGAGACAGATTGTAAACAGCGTAGCGGCCAGGATGTTTTGAATCTAAGAACAAACGCACATCTTCTATGTTGTTCTTTATGGCAGACTCAACACCTTCTGCTGGAAAGGACATCACTGGGGAAGGAGGCAGTAGGAAAAAGACAGAAGGGGGGGATCAATGGTTAAGGCTAAACTTGGATTAATTAATGTAGCTGAAGTATATAATTTGATTTAAAAAGTGATAATATTGTACCAGCAATTCTGGAAGTGATGTATGATATATCCAGATCTCCCTTTGCATAACTGAAATATAAAAAGAGAAATACTGAAACTGAGTGACCAGAATCAACATTTTTTCAAAAGTGAAATGCAGCTTTCAGTCTGGGAGGTAATTCACTAGCCTCTCTCTACTGTCTCTCTTGCCCTTCAAGAAAGAATGATGCCAACTAAATCAAAATTGTCTCTCAAACATCTGTCTCAAATAACTAAATGAGGGGAGGTATCTAAAGTATTTGGAACAGCAGCATAGATTAGCAGATCGGTGACCATTCCCCCAGCCCGATGGGCCACTTATCTGGAAAATCTGTCTCTCAGGCAGAGTAGAGTAAATACCAGTTATCCAAAAGCAGAAAGGGCTTGTTCACCTAAGGCAAAAAATTTTTTTCATAAAAGTCTGGAAATAAAGAGAAAGAATTCTCAATGGAATGCTGGAAAGAATTCATGAAATGAATTACCTAATTTAGTCAAACAGCCACTGCCCAATGGGCCACTTATCTGGAAAATCTGTCTCTCAGGCAGAGTAGAGTAAATACCAGTTATCCAAAAGCAGAAAGGGCTTGTTCACCTAAGGCAAAAAATTTTTTTCATAAAAGTCTGGAAATAAAGAGAAAGAATTCTCAATGGAATGCTGGAAAGAATTCATGAAATGAATTACCTAATTTAGTCAAACAGCCACTGCAATATTCGTTAGTGGCTTCAGCCACAGCACCCAGAGAATCTCTTCTGATTTAGCTAAACTGGGCACGCATGTCTCACTCTTCCCATCTGATACTTTAAACTCTCAGTACAGTTCAGATTCTAGAGCAAAAGCTCTATCACTGGCATCACTTCCACAGCCAAATGGAAAAAAGAGATCTAACTATGTTGCGCCAAGAACCATGTGGGGAGAACAACTTCCAGCTAGTCTAGTTGTCCACAGCCAAATGGAAAAAAGAGATCCTACTATGTTGCGCCAAACAAGAACCATGTGGGGAGAACAACTTCCAGCTAGTCCTGCTCTGAATATGCTTCATGCCATGGACCTTCCAACCTATAGAAGTCAAAGAATTGGATGCTGGTGCCACTGAGCTAAGAAAAGGCACGCATACCCATGTTAAGGTCAGGTCTCAGGTTAAGATGTTGTTTCCTTACCATCAGCACAAGGGCCTCCAGACCCGCTGCCCTAGTGTAGTATCTTACAAGAACTGGAAACAAACTGCTTGGGTTCCACATAGGCTTGCGCATAATTGGGGTGAGGAACTTGAGGCCTCCTAAGATTCTGGAGTACCTTTTCTATAATCCTTTACACTAACCATACTGGCAAGTGCTATGAGGAGTTATAGGGCAAGCCATCTAGAATGCCAACGTCTCCTCACCCTTTGTTTAAGCACCCCTCCTCCATGAAGACACCTAAGTAACCCAAGGATAAGAAACACTGACCTAGAACGCCAACGTCTCCTCGCCCTTTGTTTAAGCACCCCTCCTCCATGAAAGATTCTGCAACATAAGCAGATCTGAATCACTGTGACACTAATGGGAGAGGGATACAAATTGAATAAATAAAGAAATACATTTTATTTTGCAATTATTTTATTTTTATTATTTTATTTTATTCTGCTTTTGGAAGACTGAAAGAGGGTGAAGGGGGCTATCCTGTGCTCTGAGCCCCCAACCTCTGGGTCTTCATATTCAGCAGCTCCTCTGGCTTCTCAGATGTCACCAATAACTACTTACCTGCTTTTTAGAACATCTTGGTAACCATGAGGACTAGAAAGTAGGGTGTCTTGTTTCAAAACAAAAGGTAATCTCTAGACTCTCATGAAATTGATACACTGAGCCTAAAGTACACCTTTACAAGGGCACCACCAGAAGCCATGATTCCAGACAAACATTAAATCTACAGGATTTCACAGAGCTGTAAACATACTGAACACCATCTCAACAGAAGGAATAAAGTCACTCTTAGACCAACAGAAACAAGCTTCCTAAAAGTAAATTATATTAGGCTGCACAGATTAGCACAAGAAATCTGTAAGATCATAGTACATCACTAGTATTATATAAAGATGACCACTCTCAAGCAGCTAACAGAAGTAGTTACAGTACAAAGAAATACTGATCAACAGAGATGTCACTTAGCCTCCTTAATTGAGTTAAGTGTGTTTACAGTTTGGAAAGCAGGATTAGCAGCATTAAAGAAACATTGGGAAGACAGAAAATTAGGGTGCAGTTCACATCCACCCTCCAACCCAGCAAACCTCTTTAACTCCTTAAAACATTCCTGCTTTTGCTGTAGCCAGTGTGATGTCATGGCTAGAGTGTTCATCTAGGACCTGGGAGATGGGGTGTAAATTCCCACTCAGCCATGAAATTTACTGAGTGACTTGGGGCCAATCTGCGTTCCCTCAGGCTGACATACCTCATACGGTTGTTATGAGAGGAGGGGAACAGAAGGACAGCCAAGGGCCCCACCTTGAGCTCACTGGAGGAAAGGCAGGATAAAAATTTAACACACAACTGCACAAATAAACAAATGCTGTAGCAAAGCTACACAGTAACTTATTGTCTCTCTCTTGCATATCCATGCTCACAATGCCCAGTCCTAGCAAGGGTATTCTTAATAACTCCTTCAACAGAGATCAACAGTCAAGATCAACAAAAATCACACAGAAGAATCCTTTCTAGCCTTCAGATGGCAGGGCAGGAAGCAGAATTTCTGGATCTCAGAAAAGGGCACTGACATGTAGAAAATTAGCACATAACAGTCGGAACCCAGTTGGGGAAACTGCATATACAATGGCAATTGGTCAAGTGTTCTCTCCCACCATCCTAGGCTGTTCATCATGTCAGTCCTGCTGTGCTTGTCTTCATAAGCAATATATACCAGTTGCAGAGAGGAGAGTTCAGCTGGGGAGAAAGTGGTTGTATAACTGTCCTTCCATTCCATGTACACTCCACAGGGTTCTGGCCTAACAACGAAAGTTATAGCCTCATCTTCGCTCTGTCCACACCAGGGACGTTCAATCTTCCTCACATCTCCACCTCCTGGGCAACATGATACAGCCCCAGGAAGGAATGTCTTCTTACATTCTTCTGAGTCAATAGAACACTTGGGACAATCACAGGCCTCTGTTTCAATATTTTAGGACATAAATACAGATCTTTCCGATCAGTAGCCCTTGCCAGAATTCTTGCCCCTTTGGTACCGCCAGTCAAATTTTTAAACCTCTGAAGGAAAGCACAGAGCTCGGTTCAAAACCAGACAACCTTTCATTTCAAACCTGCTAGGACTTGCCTCTCCTTGAGCACAAGTTGGTCTTTATCCCTCCTTTAACAAAGACAGGTCTCTTTAGAATACCACTCAAATCATAAGTTTTCTCCCAAATCATCCCTTAACAGGACACACCAACACTACTGCTTTACGTATCTTAGGAATCAATTTTATTCTCTGTGTCCAAATTTGATACACTGAATGGGTTACAAATAACAACAGCCAAAGAGAGTGAAAAAAAAAAACACACCATGGATCTCTCTTTGTGTCCTGTAGTGCAGTGGTCCCCAACCTTGGGCCTCCAGATGTTCTTAGACTACAACTCCCATAAGCCTTCACCACCACCTCTACTGGCCAGGATTTCTGGGAGATGAACTCCAAGAACATCTGGAGGCCCAAGGTTGGGGACCACTGCTGTAGTGGATATCTCACTAGTAAAATGCAAGACTGAATCCATTCAGCTGGCCAAAATTGACCTGGGTACAGTTGCTCGTAGGTATTATCAAGACTAAGAGGCAAAGACCATTTTTACACAGAGGGCAAGGCTTGCCTGCACAGGCCTCCATGGGTTTTTGGACTGCACAGCCAACCAGGAGTAGACAGCATAGCCAACATTGAGGGCTGCTGGCAGCTGTAGTCCCATATATCAGAAAGGCCAGACTTTGCTTGCCTCTAGTCTAAACCAGTCAACTGATAACAGAATGCACCCAAAGAGCTTGCTCACACACATATGGCCAGAGCTTTAATGTCCTCAATTTAGCATGAGGTCAGGTTCCAAACGGCAGCCAGTGCAACTCAAGACACTCGTGTCTTCTCAGTGCTTGAAGAGATCACCAACGTAAACCCAACAGTCTTCCAGCCTTCAATATTCTCTGTGCACACAGTCTGACAAGCTGCTTCCCTCCTGAAGAGAAAGCACACTGCTGCTTTACATCATCCTAAAGAGTTCCAAATAACTCCAGGGCACCTTCTCACTTAGCACTGGGAGGTATGTGTGCTGTGAGAGTACTTGGCCAGTGCCACTCCTTCAACAAGACTGCACAAGGCACAATGCGATCCAAGGGAGTGGATTCTGGCTTGGTTTGGTGAGAAGGAAGCAACACATAAAATCAAGTGATGGGCTAGAAGCGGCACTTAGATTACTGGTTCACCCACAGCAGCAAAAAACAAAGGCAACATAATGGCAGTCACACAACAGTTAGGCATTTTAAAGGGCCTAGATATCAAGGTCTAGAAGAGGGTTTTGATGGGGCTCAATCAAGCTCACCAATATGTATTACTTGAGAGTGTGTGGTGGTTCTTCTTCACAGGGAGACTGGATGTTGCAACTTTCCTTTTTAAGAAAATGATGTTTCCCAGTCAACAAAGAGTGCACTGCACATGAACAATCCCCAAAGTAATATACACTGACATGACACTACTACAAAAAGATATCATATCAGCAAATGAATTAGTTTAAGTTCAAGTTGCTAAGAAGCTTGTATATGTAGAGTTTCTTCACTCTGGTGTGGTCATACAGCATTCAAAAGTGTAGTTGCTTTTCTGACCCCTAAGAATTAGGGTGAACCAAGAAGCTTTTGTGCAACCCAAAGAACACGATTTCTCTTTTTCAAGTGAATTTTTCATATTCAAGAAAATATGAAATATGCGGTATTTTAGCAGATTAATAAAGAACAGATGCTCTGAAGTTATATGCACATAAGAAATCTTAAATAATGTTTTGATAAAGGTAAAGGTAAAGGATCCCCTTGACAATTTTTGTCCAGTTGTGTTCGACTCTAGGGGGCGGTGCTCATCCCCGTTTCCAAGCCATAGAGCCAGCGTTTGTCCAAAGACAATCTTCCGTGGTCACATGGCCAGTGCGACTTAGACACGGAATGCTGTTACCTTCCCGCCGAGGTGGTCCCTATTGATCTACTTGCATTTACATGCTTTCGAACCGCTAGGTTGGCGGGAGCTGAGACAAGCGACAGGTGCGCACTCCGTCGCGTGGATTCGATCTTATGAGTGCTTGGTCTTCTGACCCTGCAGCACAGGCTTCTGCGGTTTAGCCCACAGCGCCACCACGTCCCTTAATGTTTTGATACTCAAGTATAATTTAGGAGTTACATGGCAATTCCTTAAATCATTCTAGTGCAGGTCTACTGATGTGTGTAGACCGACACAACAAATGTTACCAAAATATCATGTTTTACATATAACTTGAGAGCTCTGGACTATTTCAGTAGTTAAGCTGTTAAAATTAGCAAGTGAGGTCAAAACATTCCTGTTAGTATGCAGCACTCAGAACATGTACTAAAAATTTTATGCATATTTACCTTGGACTGGTAAGGAACGTGGATATGGAATGATGAAAGTTGAAGGGGAAAAAATGGGCAAAGCAATAAGCATCACATCCCAAATCAAAATAATCAAAATGCAAAAAATAAGAAACAAAAAGAAATGTGGGGAGGGGAGAGAAAGGGAAAATCCTCTCCGTACAACTCTCCCCATACAAAGCTTTCTTCCTCCCCTCATAAGAAATGCTTTACATCAACTTAGAGGAACACTACTGTATTCCAAAAATAAAAGCCATTCATGATAAGCACCTATGAAAAAGCATTAGCCATTGCATTTTCCCCCCTTGCATAAAATAAGAAGAATGTAAAGTTGGGGTTGTGAGTAGAGACGGGAATATTCATATTCATATATGAATACCCCCATCTCTAGTTGCATTAACCCTGCATCCAACCAATTCATTCCACAGAGTAGAAGGGTGAACAAATTCCAACCCTGCAGACGCTGCTGTAATTCCTAGTACCAAAATCCATAGCAAGGAACACTGGAAGGTGCAACTCAACTGGTGGGCTGCCTTCTGACCACCACAGCTTAGACCAGTGATTCCCAACCATGGATTCCCAGAAGTTATTGAACTACAACTCCCAGAAGCCTTCACCACTAGGTGTGCTGGCCAGGATTTGTGGGAGTTGTAAGGACATCTAAGGACATACTGGCACCCACAGTCGGAAACCACTGACTTAGAGGACCAAACAGTAATTACACTTAGCCAGAACAAAATATTGGTTAGGCGTCGAGAGAAAAAAGTTCATTTTAGCCAACTTAACAATTTTAATGAGTGCTGCCCATGCTACACTGAGAATGGCTTCACATGCACTTCAGAGTTCCAAAGAAAACTTGGCATATTCAAATCATAAATATACATTTCCTTGGAAGTCCAGCCAGCTCAATATAGCTTGCTTCTAGAGAAGCATGTTTTGGGAAATGATATACTGTATAGCAATGATCATCAAATTTGTAGATTGTGATTTCCTGGGTGCAACTTCACAGTGGATCCACTCATCAAATGTGTAGATTATGATTTCCTGGGTGCGACTTCACAGTGGATCCATTCGCATTTTTCCAGCTATGTGCAGTATCACACCCTCAAATCACTGATAACTAACCCAACACATCTCTAAGGGGCTTAACTCGCATTTTTCCAGCTATGAGCAGTTTCACACCCTCAGATCACTGATGACTAACCCAACACATCTCTAAGGGGCTTAACAGGGCGGCTTTAGCTAGGTGCCGCAAAACACTTCCTGCTCCCCTCTCTAAATCCCTCATATTCTTTGTACAACTGCACCCACATGTGAGCCACAGGGTGTCATAAGGACCTTTACTGTACAGTCAAATGCTTCACCTTGCCCAGGAAAAGGACTGTTTGAAAGTCACAGCTCCAATCCATCCCAAAGGTGTTTGCCTCTGGCAGAAGACAGCAGCTAGCATTGAACCACCACGTGTCTAAGCAAGGGGAGAAGACAGAGGGTCAAACTGATCCAACTCTTGACCCTGGGGCCCTCTGTACTGTCATGGCTTAGTATAGCCAATGGAACTGTATCATGAAAAGTATTCATGTAACATGATTTCCAATTGGTTACTTAACCCTGACATCATAAACACCCCTGAGGAATTGGACTGACCTTCCCCTATGAATCAGCTGAAGGTGAATGCCTAAAGAAAAGGACCTTCCCTCTCCAAAGTCCCCTTCAGGGGTGACTCAGATGCTGAGTGTCCAGGGAAAGAGATCAAGGTCTAACTCCAAAATTTTCTTCTAGTCCACTCTTGTTGCTTTCTCCCATAAAAGTATGTGTTCTGTACAATACTATGGGAAACCTGCACTGTTGATGCAGTGAGAAGTGATGGTTCCAACTCCCCCTGATGCCTTCCACTGCTGCACTCCTCTTGGGAGTAAACAAATGGCTGCCAGCCAGCTTACTGGGAAAATGTAAATCCACTGAAACACCACTTTGTCACAAGTAGGATGTCTCCCACCAGCACACACATAAACACTGTTGTTTCCACTAACATAAACCTTATTTATTTACTTTCTTCCATATAGCTGCAAAGAGAGCAGCTGCCTTCTACGAGGGAAAGCAACAATCACTTCCTGTGGTCCATTCTGAAAAACCACTAAAGAAGCAAATATTACCTACAGATCTGGTATATTTCCCACATGAGATATCTGTAAGCAGTCGGACAGGCAGGTCCTGAGGACTCTCTAGTCCTGGACTTCCTGTATCAAGTAAGACAGGGTGGCCTCAAGACCTCCCAACCCCAGGATGAACATATGTGGAGAAGGGAAGAGATTCCATTTTCTCTTGCAGTCAATATACTGTATGTTCTCATTAAGAAACAAATGTCCTTCTGGAGTTGAGAGTAAAAGACGTATATAGCTGGATCAAGCTGAAGAATTGGGGCAAACATCTCTATTGAAAACCCAGGTGAGTCTCAAGTTAACACAAGAGCGTATGTAAACATGAATGGATTCCTATTCTAGCCTGAGGACCACACACCAACTGTTAGAAGTCCAACATCTAATAAACGAACACCAAAAAAAGGACAAATTTAACCCACACTGTAGACATCAAATTCAAAAGTTACACTGGAAAAAAGTAATATGCTCAAGATACCAAGGTAGTGTGGCAACTATGCACAAAACCCAAATCCATATAAATGGTCCCATATCATATAATAACCCATACTACATGAGGACTGGTCGCTTTTATACCTACATGCTCTATATGGTCATGGAAAATAGCTTAAGAAGAATTGAAGTGTTCAGTGTGCTTCATAAAACTTAAACCTTCATAAATGATGAAGGCAACAGGAGATGGAACCATAGAGGAGAAACTCTGCTTCCTGACCCCACTTCTATTGTAGCCACTTTTGACAGAATAACTGATCCTAGACCCGAATAGAGACCAAAACAATCCCTTCTGATAGGTGTCAAGCAATTTTTCAAAACTGAAGTAACACATGCTTTAGGAAGAACCCCAGATGTATTTCTGGTCTCCTTCATTCCCTTAATGCAGGTGATTGTGTCCTCTTACAATTCTGTACTAGGCTAAAAATCAGAACCCTGTAGCTTTCTGCCCAAAGATACCAACACGCAACCTGCGCTAAAAGCAAGCAGGAAGCTAGGCCACTGTACACTCCTTTTGTCAGATTCCAACTCAAATGCTTGTTAGTGGACAATCAGCCACATTCTTAGCTATTCTTACTGTGGTTCTGGGTGAAGGTGATCTTGCTTAGGTCAATACAGTTTTACAAACGGCACCAGCAAGAGAGTTTACAATCAGACACCCCTACTGAGAGAATGAGACTAGATACCAGTTCATTTCCATACATGCATTTGGTACACCCATCCTGAACTTGAAAGGACTATCGTGATTCAAGACATATGAGGTCTCCACCAACAAATCTCTTCGACCAGCAAGAGAGTTTACAATCAGACACCCATACTGAGAGAATGCCACTAGATACCAGTTCATTTCCACACATGCATTTGGTACACCCATCCTGAACTTGAAAGGACTATCGTGATTCAAGACATATGAGGTCTCCACCAACAAATCTCTTCATTACTCAACATTACTCAACTTCATTATTCTGATTACTAAACAAAAGCTTCTTTTGAGTGCCACAATCCCCTTTGAGTGCCACAATACGTAGAGCATGAGGAAAGATAAATAATTAGTGGTTTTACAACTCCTTTATCGACACAATGGCTGGAGGCTGGATAGCTCAGTGGTTTGCATATCCGGCTGTGGAGCCAGAGGCTGGGAGTTCAATTCCTCACTGTGCCTCCAGAGAGAAGATCCACCATGTATGGCCCTGGGCAAGCTGCACAGTCCTAGGACACCCCCAAAAGAAGAGAATAGTAAACCACTTCTGGGTACTCTATACCTGGAATACCCTTTAAAAAGGTCACCATACCACAATTGACATTGTTATTTTTATTTATCAATACAATAGCATTTCCACTTACTTGGCCACAGACTGAATGACTTTCGAAGACGTGTCCTTAATATTTGTGAAAAGCCTCTCTGTCCCGCCCCTGAGAATATCGAAGAATCCTGCATAGGTCTGGTCACATTCTGCTACTGTCAAACCTAAAGCCAAGAACACAGGATTACAGCCCAAAGACCTTTCACCATCATGATTTCTATTCAGATCCCCAAAACAGTGGCGCTCCTCAGTTTTTTCTGGACTTCATGTCCCAGAACTCCTAGCCAGCATAGCTGATAGTAATTTTGGGAGCTGTAGTGCAACATCTATGGATACAAGACAGGAACCACTATGCTGAAAACTATTTACATCTATTTCAGTTCATATGTTTCCAACATCAAACTATTTGATTATGTACTCAAATGTCACCTTTTTTATTCATGATTTGTTTTTAGAAGGGTTACTCCCTTATTTAATCAAACAGTCCACTGATTCCTGAGGAGCTGTTATGAATTGCTAACAAGGAATTAAATCAAAGGCGGGGTACACATGCCCTTCCAGATGTTTCTGGACTGTCGCTCCCAGCAGACCAAGCCAGCAGAACCCATGGTGAGTCCAGCAACATCTGGAAGGCACTGCATTCCTCATTCCTACATTAATCAATATGCAGTTAGCATAGCCTCACATCTAGGAAACTTCACATACGTTTAGCTATGCACAACAGCAAGACATCTGATTTCAGACAGCAGTCAGCTACTACTATTCTAGTTAGTCAATGTGCTGGCCTACATATTTTACTAATAAAGGCATGTATTGTGGATCCAAAACAACTATGGCTTTAAAGAAATAAAAACATTTGGAATCCCACAAATGCAGACAGGAAACTTCTCATAGGCCCTGCCAAGAACAGACACTGATAAGGGATGATGGGAGTTACAATCCAGCCACACGTGGAAAGTCACAGATTGCCATCACTCCTTCCGCCTCCCCCTGCACTGTAATTTCTGAGGAAAACACCATTCAGCAATTTACCTGCATTGTACATATTGCTGAGCTGCCCTGCAGGTTTTGAGTTTTGTGGCACTAGAGGAGATGATGTTCTGGGCTGAGCATTATTTCCATAGCCTCCATTTTGTTCCAGAAGCTAGAGAAAAAATAATTTCCAGAATAAATTAGTATAACTACATCTCTCTCACATACCAAGAAAAAAGGACAAACAGGTAGGTCTCAGAAACCGAAAGTTGTGAGACACACAAATCAAATCCTGACTAGCACAACTGTTAATGATTCTGAAATAATAAAAATTTTCCCCTCACCCCCCCCCAAAATGAAAAATGCAAGAAATATATGCAAGGAAGAGGGCTATTTATGTGTTATTTTGTATCCTAAACTTTCTCCACTAATCTCAAGGCAAAATCCATGGCTCTTCTCCCCTAAACTCATATATTTGCCCCAGTTCTGTGAAGCAGGTCTAACTGAGAGATGGACATAGGCCCATAGTTGCTGACTATGTTTTATATCTCAGAGTCCCACGCTGAATCTCACAAGCACTGGTTGGGTATACTGTTGTCAAGTCAAAAGCAACCTATAGCAATCCTAACAGGATTTTCAAGGTAAGTGAAATATTTAAAGATATATTTTTACCAGTTCCACTCCCCCAGCCCGTTTCCATGGCCAAGTGGGGTTTGAACCTTGTTCTCCAGAGTCCTATTCTGTCATTCTATCCATTATACCACACTGGGAACTACACTGGGCATATTAGAGCTCTTTTATTTTTCTTATGTGGAAGAAGAAACAGCTTCCACTGGTATAGCTTTTGCAACACCCACCAAGATTCCTTCCTATGCACTGCATTGCCTTAGAAAGATGGAAGGCTGGTGCATACAGCAGAAATGTGCCAGAGGGTGCTATAATACAAGATGATTTTAAAGGTGGTTCTGCTTTGAGAAGGTGGGAGACTGAAGTTCAAGCTTTTAGTTCTGACAGCAGCATACCTCTCAACCACTCTGTGCTAACTCCTGAATTTTAGTAAGTGGGCTTGGGCAAGCTACGGTTTTCTGTCCATTCAGTCTCACTCTCTTAATAAGAACGTTTCATGAACTGGAAGCCTATGAGCAGTGAACACTGTACATTCCACATAGTGTTCAAACATGCCAAATATTATTATAAAAAGTGAAGCAGGTGCTGCTCTATATACCTCTACTGCTCAGTTCATTTATTCCTGAAACCACTCCAAGGGAGGAGAGAAAACAGAATTTCATTAAAAAAAACTATTTAGACAAATTTGATAAAGCAAAAACCTGTTGATCTGCTACATTTATTTCAGCCTCCAGAACTGAAGCATCTTTCACTGAGCAACTGGGAGTTTCATTCATGGATCAGGACAGTGTAATCACAGTGAACAACAACTCTGGCAGCCTCCTGACTGGATTACAGTAACACACTGCACATGGAGCAGTCCTTGAAGACAGCTGTTTCACTTGTATGAAATCTGGCTGTTAGACGGCTAACAGGTACAGAATGATGAGATCACCTTATACTGATCCTAAGGGAGTTGCACTGCTTCTGGGTCCAATTACAGCATGATTTTAACCTAAACAAATATGCCACAATAATGCTATATCCTAGACCAACCAGCCTGTATCTTAAAATCTGCTGGGAAGAGTTACCGCACAATACTTTCCACACATTATATAATTATAGAAATGAGAATCTTCTCTGCCGTGACATTCCATTTGATGAATAAAACTTCAGCTGGCACAAACTTTTCTTATTTTTTCCAGTATCAAGTTTAAAACCTGTTCACTTCCCCATTAATTTGGGCTGTGCTGTATCTTTTATTCATTTCATAATTTACGTAAAGGTAAAGGTTCCCCTTGACAATTTTTGTCCAGTCGTGTTCGACTCTAGGCGGCGATGCTCACCCCCGTTTCCAAGCCATAGAGCCGGCGTTTTGTCCGAAGAGAATCTTCCGTGGTCACATGGCCAGTGCGACTTAGACACGGAACGCCGTTACCTTCCCACCGAGGTGGTCCCTATTTATCTACTTGCATTTGCATGCTTTCAAACTGCTAGGCTGGCGGGAGCTGGAACAAAGCAACGGGGGCTCACTCCGTCATGTGGATTCGATCTTACGACTGCTTGGTCTTCTGACCCTGCAGCACAGGCTTCTGCGGTTTAGCCCACAGCACCACCACGCCCCTACTAATTTCATAATTTACTCTCTCTTAAATTGTTTACAGCTGTGCTCTGTTTCATTTTCACTGTTTCGGACTTCATTTGCCTTCTTGTAGTCTTTTCTTTTGATAGAAGGGTTAAAACATTTTTAAAGCAACCATCATCCACAGCACAAAGCACCAGGTTTTGCTCAGAAGTGCCCATTACCTCTGTGATGGGGGATTTGGGGTTTACATTCCTAGCAGCTGCAATCTCTTGCAGTTGATTCACTAGCTCAGTAATGGACAGTCTCTCCTCTGGATTCACCTTCAAAGTGGCGCCTTAAAAATAATAATCACAAAACAAGCAGCATTTAGACTAGTAAACAATCCACAAATCTCCTTAAAGAATTTTTATTTTCCTCTAAGATTTCCATCCTATCAGGAAGCAAAAGAGACTTTCATGATGGCTAAAATGCCTGGTTAACATAAGGATTTGTCTGTACAACTATAATTGAATCTACAAGTCATAAAGACATGGCTTTAATGTAGCCTTCCCTAAGCTAGTGCCCTCAGAATGTGGTAACAATAGCTTCCACCATCTTCAGACAGCCTGGCCAGTGGCACTCCTGGCTGGGGATGAAGGGTGCTGTAACTAAAATTATAGAGGGCTGAGGAAGGCTACTTTATTTGCTTAAATTGCCAAGTGTGTGTTTAGTCGTTTAGTCGTGTCCGACTCTTCGTGACCCCATGGACCAGAGCACGCCAGGCCCTCCTGTCTTCAAAATTGCCAAGTGCTTTGAATAATTGTGATAATAGGGAGAGGCTCAGAACATTCTGCATTTAATTTTATTCATATGTTTGCTTCTGTCATGGTACTAAAAGGTGCATATGTGCAAATAGCATTTCTATATAGAATGGTAAACTAGCAACCATCAATTTTTAAATTTAGGATCAAACCACGTATTTTATCAAAACAATGCCCAAGCAATAGAAAGCTGGGACCTCTAAACTTCAGTGGCAGATATAATTTCTTGCACTCATGGATTTCCTCTACAAACTATTTCTGTATGCTGCCCTTTTGTGTTCTACTCCATGTACACAAAAGCAATCTGGAAAAGCACACCCACAGTTTTAATAGGGGGGAAATATGCACCTTTATAAAACTATCCACTTACATTAAGCTCACCTACCCTATTGCTTACTTAACATCAGTGCCCGAAACTTACGGATGAGATCATGAAACACTGTGTATCTCGTGTCATTTTCTGGAATAGAATATTTCCCATTGACTATCCGAAGCTTGGCGCCATCTTCAAAAGGATGTTGCCTAAAGCACAACAAGTACAGGATGCAACCCAAAGCCTGGACGGGAAAAATAAAGTGGTTATTGATAAAGCAACAGATAAATAAACTTAGATCAAACAAGTTTGAACCATTCCAGGTTAAATGGCCATCAGCTATGGGAGCAATTATTTTGTTTCATCTGATGGCCTGTCTGATAAACATGAGTTCAGAGAAGGTTATATCATTGAGTAACGCGCCACAGACACAGTAAGCCAGAATCAGTGCTAACTATGTTTCGTTGCTGTAACACTTGTTAAGGTCCCCAATGTTTGGTGAAATCAGAGTTTGGCTTCCCAAGGCAAATCTCGCCATTGCAGGTCAAAATGAAAATTGCTTGCCATCCAATGTTTCTGCTAAGGATCCAACGCCAGCCTTCCCACTTCAGCAGTTTTTAGGTCTTGCTGTCCCAACTAGCAACCTACCCCACGGACTATGGCCAATGCCAGTGATCAATTTTCAGTTATGTTTGGAGCAAACAAACATCTGAAGGCTACAAATTGGAGGTCTGTGGAACAAACCACATTCTCCCACAGTCATTTCTTTAACAACCACAACACAGCATGAGGCACAACATGAATCAACACTGGAACCGGGTGCTGTTCCTCTTCTGCCAGGAGCTTCCGCCACCACAACAAGAAACATGCTGGTAACCAAAAACTTGCAAGAAAGAAACCAGGGGAATGCATATTCATCATATGGAAACACCAACATCCAGGTGGTGATAATATCTTCATCTGTCCAACCCCAAAGGCACAAAACAGCGTTCAAGTTTTAGAACTTTTTTAATGGATTGTTCCACCTTGCTGCTTTGAATGTGTTCTAATGTTGCTTGTGTTTTTTTTTAGTATGGTATTTGTTTGATCCTTCTTAGTATCTGTATACTTACTGTTGTTAGCTTTAATATTGTCTTTTAATGATGTAAGCCACCTTGGGTCCTTTTAAGGACAACGGTGGAGCAAAAATATTTTAGGCAGACACACCAACTGATCAATGAAGAAGAAGGAGACTTGATCTTTAAGCTTTTGTTGCTTGCAATGGCGAAGCAGTGCCTGACAGCCTCATGAACTTGCTCATCAAGTGAACTGATGCAATTAGATTTCAACTAGAGTCACCTCTTGGTTTACTAGGAAGGGGAAAACCTATGAGGTTCAATGTTCCATTTCGAAAATACAAGCCTCCCTTGTAAAACTAGATTGAAACTCACACTTCTTTAATAACTTGAAAGCCTGCATACAATTTTATGTCTTTTTCGTTGGCCTAAGAAAGATATTGCCACAATACAGATTGTGAGATATGACCATTAAACCACAAAGAGAATAACATCATTCTTTATTACATTACGGTAGCAATGTAATTACATTCTTAATATTAGAAAAAAGAATTAATCACAAGAAGGACTGGTAAACCGATGTTGAGTATTTATACCTGGTCACCATAAACTGAAATTATAAGTTGTTGACAAACAATTTCAACTATACCTTTCTTCAGTAACAAAAGTATAATTACACTAAAACTGTATGTTAATCAGTTTACTTAACATAGCTAGTTAATTTCTATGATCTACCAAGATCTGATATAAACCAGTGGTCCCCATCCTTGGGCCTCCAGATGTTCTTGGACTTCAACTCCCAGAAATCCTGGCCAGCAGAGGTAGTGGTGAAGGCTTCTGGGAGTTGTAGTCCAAGAACATCTGGAGGCTCAAAGTTGGGGACCACTGATATAAACCACTTGATGACTACACTGTCCACTGTCCTAGCAGCCTATTGTAAGGAAACCTTCTACCAATGCCAACTATTTGCCTTCAAGAAATTTAGCTGCAGCTAGTGATGCTGCTCGATAGCCATCCAATAGCAAAAATCTGAAACTGGACCAGGCAGGGTTTTAGATGTCACCTTCATGTCCCCACTATTAGGGCTATTGTGCTTTTACAGGTAATTGACAGAACATAAGGTACAAAGTAATCAAATGCAGAGCTGGTGATCTGAATATCAACCCAATGAAGTGGGATCCCATCTATTTCTTACACATTAATGACTCCCACAAGATGGAAACTATACAGTAGGAGAGCTGGAAAAGCAGGACCCAAGTTCATCTCCTCAAACAAGAGGCCTTTGGCTTTGTTTTCCCCCCTCAGCAGTTTCAGACAAGTGAATAATTATGTAACTTTCGACGGGGTGCCTAAATTGCTTCCCACTTCCCTCCTCTCTTCTTTCTTTTCATATATTATCTTTTAGACCAGTTGGACAGCAACTCCCAAAAACTCCGTCCAGCACTGCTGGTGGTAAAGGCTTCTGGGAATCACAGTCCAAGAACCCTTGCGTAGCCCAAAGCATGGAACCACTGTTTTAGACTATAAATCTGTGGGCAAGGGTTGGCTTGGTTTTAGTCTGCAGGCCATGCTCAGTGAATGTGCGGTGCTGTGTATTTGATAAATTAGTCTATAGGAAAAACAAGAAGAGTCCTGAAGCTTCTTAAAGACTGAAACATTTTTTGGCATAAAATTTTCTGGATTCCTACCCACTTCTTCAGATACAGGCTAACACAATTCTTCCCTTCTCACCCAGAAATTGATAAAATTGGAGTGGGGGTGTGGGAAGGGGATGATTAGGAACTAAATTAGAATCATTCATAGAGATGGAATTTCCAGATGAATGCCATGTTCACCAGCTCAGATAAACAGTCCTGTTTTCATGAAATGTTAGCCAACATTTTTATACCAGCGTTTAAGTATCATTGCATTTTTATGCCCTTTCTTTTTGTTGCTGTTGCTGTTTTGAGTTGTGGATTTTATACTTTATTGTTCATCTGTAATGTAAGACCAGGCCTAACTGGTTCTCTGTTTTTGACCACTATCTATCTTGATGTGATTCCTAAAGTGCTGTCACTCCTCCATGATAGAAAGGACTTACACACCACACTATAAACACATTGTTGCCCTACTCACCTCCTTTATGCATGCACTCATGTTTCCCAAGAATTATAGACTGCTAATATTTTAGCTTGCAAATTCAGGAAATGATACATATTACAATGGTGTCTCTATATACATTTTAGCACTTTGTTGTAAGTCACCTGGTAGATTCATCAAAAGGAAAACAAATGGCTGAAAATCCTATAAATATGAAGTCCAAATAATATTCAGATACATGTCATAAAATCCAATCTGTGGACAGAAAGAAAATGCATACCCATATATCTTGTTTTTCATCTATTGGATAATTTGAATACAAGTCTATTATTTCAGGTGTCCGATACACTGGTGTCGTGTTCCTTGTGATCTGTAGACACAAAATAAGAGATCTATTGATATATTTTATGCTTATAAATACTCATACCAAACACACCTGGAAAGTAATTAAGGACATCAAATAAAATGAATATCTTCAGTTAAGATTAAAAATCCCTAGTCCTCTTGCCAGAATTTGGCTTGTGTACATCTCAGCACCTTTTTCAGAAAATTAACTGCTTGAAGTGTGGGGCGGATGCTAATCTTTGCAAACAAAGCAAGCAGCAAGCCAAAAATGGAGTGCACAGTACCAACACAAAGGCGAAGGCTGATTCTTGCTCCTAACTACTAGTAGCCTCCCAGACTGGATGTGACTGTGTACGCTAACAATGTCTCCTTCTTTGAAGTCACGGGTGGTTGCACAGTGAACTCTGAAAGCAGAGGATCTGCTTTTAGTTACGCTAAAGTGGGAAGGAAACCAGACTATTTGAGTAAGCTGATCCTCCTCTCTGAGACCTCCTTACCACTATATCACCAACTTAAAAGAAGAGGATATTGTTACCAACATAGTCAGAATCCTCCTTTTCCCCACAGAACCATTCACGTAATCTCCATATATTCATAGCAACTCAAAGTCAAGAAAGAGAAGAGCAGTCTGTGGTTTGAAAACTGGTTGACAGTAGATATTATAATGTACAACACAGTGATAACATCAGTTCTTACAATCTTTTAAAATTCAATATATCACTCATAACAGAGAACCCAGAGGCCAATACCCCAACTAGAGATGGGATATTTGTATTCGTATACGAATACAAATATCCCATAACCAGGAGGCCCAGTCCTCCCTCCCCAAACCAACCCATCCACTCACGGGCTGCTGTGCAGCATGCAGTGCCAGCATCCTGCTTGTTGCGCCAATCTTGGACGCAGCTCGGCTGGAGCTTCCCCACTTCCATGTGCTGCTGACCAATCAGCAGCTGAGTGGGAAGACTCATCATTCCACCCCCTGGCTGGAGTGGCCAGCAGCGCAGGGAGATGGAAAAGCACTAGCTGAGCTATGTCTGAGATTCGCATGACAAGCAGGATGCTGGCCGCGCATACTGAGTGGTGAACCGTAAGAGGATGGGTTGGTTTGGGGAGGCGAGACTGGGCTTCCTGGCCACCTGGGTTCGGGATATTCATATTTGTATACAAATTTGTATACAAATATGAATGTCCCATCTCTAGCCCCAACTCATTCATCTATAACAGGGGTCTCCAAACTTTTCACACGGAGGGCCATATAATATATTTGTGATATATTTTGTCCACAAAACTGCTGCACAAATACGGGATTTGCACAAGTTGAAAAACATAGCAGCCTGGGATACTTTAATATTTTTTAAAACTCATTTTTCTTATAAGTATGTAATTAAATGAATGGAGTATACCTATAACCACAGGGTAGTTCTCCAAGGTAAAATTTTGTTGAAATTGCAGCAAAGAAAAAGAAAGAGAGATGCTAACTCAAAGTTTTGCCCTCACCAGCAGATGGTACATTGGAATAATGTGGAGAAGCCTTGGCATTCCAATTATTTTCATCTACAGGCACATATGACACTGCCAATAGTAAGTGACTGTGTTGGCTGTAGTCTATAATATCTGAAGGGCCCAAAGTCGCGCCCCCCCAATTCTTGAGGTTTAGGCATGCTCATGCCTGTGCCCAAATGCTTCAGCAACAATGGTGGTTTTGAACAACAGTTTATACACAGCCTTTTTATTGTGCTACCTTTTTAAGAGGAAACGGTTCTACGCAACATCACTTAGATGCCTGGATCCATAAGAGCTGACTACTACCATGGCCTGTCATGTAGGACTGTCTTTAAGTACAAGGTCAGCTCTCCTGGCATTGCCAAATGGCCACCAGCATCAGTCCTAACCCGCACAGCTACAGCAGTGCGACCAGCACTCCAGTCTAACTACATTTGGACGCCCCCACATTTCCAATCTCTTTTCCCAGAAACTCTAGAAGCTTCAGCAGAATAACATAACTTCCTGTAATTCGGGGGAAGGCACTTCAGAGCCTATTATGGCTCCTTGCTTTTCCCTCTGGCTGCTATTTAATAATCTCGACTTTTCTTTCCCATTCTACTAATGCTTGTAAAAAATGTTGACGTTCTTTGGAAGAAAACTGTTCTAAGAAGTAGCCGCCTAGAGTGGTCGTAGCCGCCTAGGGTGGTCGTATAGACCAGATGGGCAGGATATAAATGAAATAAATAAGTAAATAAATAAATAAATGAAGTATAATTACACAAAACAGGACAGTGCATGTAGCTCAGTTTGAAAACCTAATGCAGAACGTGGGTTCTCTTGAGATACATCATCTGTGTTACTCATGCGCAGCATATGCAGCCCTCTCTGGCTAAGTCTAAACTAGACAAGAAATGCTGCACGTACACAATCTGTGGTTTAGAAGAAGAAGAAAATATTCAAGGCCACCTTATTTGGGACTTCTTAACAACAGAGGCGAAGACAGCTTTTGCTATGTAATTGGAATACCAACCAAACAATGGAGCAAGGCATTAAGATTTCCAGCTGTGCGCTCAGCCATAAATGTACTAGGGATACATTGAAAATTAATCACAGTGCCAGGTTTCTCACCTCCTCTTCAACGGTTGCTCTTTTCTGGGCAGTCCAGTTGTAGTCTGGGTAATGTGCTACGGTGGTTGCACTGCCAAAGTCACACAATTTAATGGTCCCCTGGTTACTCATCAGCATATTTTCGATCTGCAGAGACAAGTCAGCTAGCAATTTAAGATGAGAAAGTGTATGCATATATATATAGTCATGTATTCCTATATGCCTGTGCTCAAAGTACACAAGCACTATCAATTCTTGTACTTAATTAACCTTCCAATATTTATTGCGTACAGCTTAAGTAGTCCGCATTGATTCTTTTCACCCCTTTCTGCATAAAATATCAGGGTGGATTTGATTTTTAGAAATCTGATTTAAATGAAAAAAATTATAAAAATTAGATTTTTAAGTTACATTGGATTTTTTAAATTTAAATCGGAATTCTTTTAGATCAAATGCTTACTGACTAGCGATTTAAATCATCATTTAAATCAATTTGATTCAAATCAAATCCATTCTTTAAAGCACTTCTTCTCAGACCATCTCCAGTGATCATCAGCTGTGAGAATTAACCCAATATTTCAATTTTCTGTAAAGCACTACTTCCCAGACCATCTTGTGATCAGGAGCTGTGAGAATTAACCCAATATTTCAATTGTTTCTCCTTTCTGCTTTTATTTCCTGCAAGACTAAAAGTCTTATAGGAGGTTAACAGGGCAAACAGGCAAGATAATTGTTGATTGGAACATTTGAAAATGAAAAATCAAAAACACAATGTGCTGGTCAGAAACTTAAATATACATCCTGAGTCCTTGCAATTATGTGTTATACCTATACAACAGGCAGTCCTAGTCAATTGTTTCTTAAGAAATTCTAATTTAATATTGGACATTTTAAACACATTTCCAAAACATTATGGTTTTTACATGTTCTCTAAGCAAGGGGAAAACAGAATTTATGCTGTATATGTTTTCCACGTGACACAACAAACCAATTGTATCTCAATGTTTTTCTAAAGTAATGTTATTTAGAGATTATAATATATTTTAAATTGTTTATGGACAATTGTTATCTTAGAAAGAAAAAAACTGAATTTCGCAGCGGATGATACTGGCAATTATAGGCCTGTCACCAATGTTTCTTTCATTAGTAAAGTTGTCAAGAGGGTGGTGGCTGATCAGCTTCAGGCTCTCTTGGATGAAACAAACGCCCTGGATCCATTCCAGTCAAGCTTCAGGCCGCACCATGGTACAGAAACGGCATTGGTCGCCCTATCAGATGACTTGTTGAGGGAGGCCGACAGAGGGAAAATGTCTCTGTTGGTCCTCCTCGATACCTCAGCTGCCTCTGATACCGTCGACCATGATATCCTCCTGGGGAGGCTCTCCGAGCTGGGAATCGGTAGACTGGCGTTGGCCTGGCTCCGATCCTTCCTGGAGAATCGTCTTCAGAGAGTCCAGCTTGGGGAGGGGGACTCGGCCCCGTGGAGCCTCAACTGTGGAGTTCCGCAGGGCTCGACCCTCTCCCCAATGCTGTTTAACATCTATATGAGGTCGCTGGGTGGGGTCATCAGGGAGTGTGGAGCATCGTGCCAGCCAGCTATACATCTCCTTCTTTCCAACCACAGTGGATGCTATTCTGTCCCTGCAGCGCTGTCTGGGGTCTGTACTGCAATGGATGCAGGAAAATGGGCTGAGGCTGAACCCGGACAAGATGGAGGTCCTGAGGGGGGGTGGACCCACTGTCAGTGGTTTGGGAAACTCCCTCTCTTTGGGGGGGGGCGATTCTCACTGCTAAGAATGAGGTTCGCAGCTTGGGGATTCATCTGGATCCGGCACTCACCATGGAAACTCAGGTGGTGTCAGTGGTCTGCACCGCCTATTTCCATCTGTGACGGATTGCCCGGCTGTGTCCCTTTCTTTACGTTGGGGCGCTCACCACCTTGGTCCACACGCTTGTAATCTCAAGATTAGACCACTGTAATATGCTCTGTGTGGGGCTGCCTTTGAGATTAATGCGGAAACTACAAATGGTGCAGAATGCAGCAGCCAGACTTCTTAGTGGGGTGAAGAAATATCAACAAATTACTCCCACTCTGGCTGCATTGCATTGGCCGCCCATTCAATTCTGCGTTGATTTCAAAGTTCTAATGATCACATACAAAGCCCTAAACGGTTTAGGACCTCAATACTTGGCAGAATGCCTCCTCCCACCTAGATCTACTCGTATCACCTGATCTAGCCAGGAGGGGCCCAACGCCGAGGGAGGCTGGAAAGAAAAAACAAGACACTGGGCCTTCTCGGCAGTGGCTCCCAGGCTTTGGAACATGCTCCCCCCGCTGAGATTCGTCTGGCCCCCTCGCTGAGCATTTTCAAAAACCAACTCAAGACCTGGTTATATAGACAGGCCTTCCCTCCAGACTCTACGTAATTCTCTTTCTCTCTTTATCTATTCTGTTTTGAGTTAATGTCGGGAACCGTTATATTATATTGATTGTTTTTATTATGTGTTTGTGAGCCGCCCAGAGTAGACTATGTCTAAATGGGCGACATATAAGCTCAATAAATAAATAAATAAATAATTTCTTGGATACATTTTTTTTCTAAAAAAGGACTATCATTAAAAATGTCCTATCAGTAGATTATACAAAAATCACAAATAATGAAAACAAATAAAACAAAACTCTACTTCTGCTGAGAATGAATTTAGGAATAATCAATGGGCCTAAGGCTGCTATTTTTAGAAAAAAACCTGGGCATTTTCATCCCATGAAATACATGTCAGAACAGAAAAGTCAGACTCTGGTACTGAAAGATGATAATGTTGGAGCCAGGCAGGCTGTACTGAGGAATGCATTCCGCAGATATGGATCCTGCATGGCACTGTTACATGCTGTATTTGGTGTGGCTCCCCACATCTTGATTGCTAAACTTGTAACTGGATTCCATTGTGGATACTACACATATAGTCAATTCTCATAATTCTTTAGCTCTTTATCTTCAGCTACGGCATGGGTTCATCAATTGACACAACCGGTGCAAGACGTTTCAAATGACTACACGACAAACTCTACCTCGGTACTGGTGACGTTCATTGTGAAACTGGAAACACTCCTTTTGAGCCCAGATCCACCACAGAGGCAACTTTGGATTCCATACCTTTAGATCTCTATGAATAATAGGAAGTTTCTGCTTGTGCATGTGTTGAACTGCTCGACAGGTCTGGTAAAATATCTTCAGCACCGTATCGCATGAGAGGGGGCCTTTGGATTCGGCTTTCTTTAAGAATTCCACTAGTTGCCCTATGGACATAAAATTAATGTTAATGGATGGATCACACTGATTAAGGAGGAGGCACTAGAGCAGGTTATCCACATCAAAGATGTGCAGAAATCTTCTTTATCATTATTGGACATCATATTTGACTGACTGCACTGCCACAGAAAGAGGGTTGGTTGTTCAGAAGGCTTTGCTCATCCCCCATCTAACGCCAACAAATGGAAGAAAAGGGGATAGGTTCAATTCCTCCTGAGGAAAAAATTGTCTCCAAATGGCTTCAGTCTGGCCACCCACCCCAGCAAATTTTAGCAGGAGGCTTCTTTTAACTCACTGAGTTAAAAGAAGCCAAGATTCTTCCCTTCACAAACAGCAGTTATCATAAAACAGGGGAAAGATCTCTACCTCAAAAATGCTGCCACCGTGAAGGGGGCCCACTTCATTTGGCCTTATTTTGAGACATGCTCTGCCGGTATGCTTTTCATCATCATATTTGCAATCTTTGGATACAAAATATGCCCTCCTATCCCATTACATGCAATTCCTGCGTACATGTCATATCAATCACCCAGCCCTCAACTCTCTGTTCTTTATTCATGACTTAGTTCCCAAAGGAAAGGGGGAGAGGCGGAACAAAGCCCTGTATGCTACCAGCTTCCATTGCCTACAGTTCTTTTGGGCAGAAGAAAAGGCATTCATGTCTTCAAATGCAAAATATCTATTTGCTTTGGAAAGCCATCAAAAGGCAGAGCTGCAAGCGAATTTCTTTTCTCCTCTTTCAATTTGGCACAGGGACAAAGGAACCAACCTGTCTGCGTGACCTCCACAGCGGCACGTCCTTCAGTCTCGGTCACACCAATTAATTCAAGAGCAAATTGTAAACCTCAATTAAAGTGGTGATTAAAGCTCACAACCCTAATTAATATCCATCTCAGGGAAAAAAATATGTAACCATTTGGAAAGAAAGGAAAGAGAACAGCTCTTAGTCATTATTCCATAACGCTTAGGCTTATCACGAAAACCAAAACCAACGTTTTGTGCCAGCTTTGAAATAAACCTCCTGTGGATTATGACACAACACTCCTGATGTCTGAGGAAGCGGACTATAATCCGCAAAAGTTCAAACAGCAATAAATCTATTTTCCTGAAAGGTGCCACAATATTTTACATTTGGTATGCATTTGGAAAAAACTAGCACAGTGACCTCTTTGAAAATCTCCTGACGCTGTTCCCAAACTCCCGTGTAAGAAATGAAAGTAACAAGACCATGAGCCTCCCAGCGATAACAAGGCGTGTAGTACTGGCTGGAAGTGTGCACAGATTCTGCATCTCTTTATTTGAGAAAACCGGCCCCTGTCATGTCTCTGCTTCACTCACTGGAGTAAGCCAACAAAAGATAAAGCAGCCACCCTGAAGCCAAGGCATTCCCAGCTAGGTATGTTGTGGTCTGGTTTGAAGAAGGCTGTCTTATATTGGCCTACTCTGGAACCTCTGGCCAGCTATACCAGATTTCTCGAGTTGCGGTCCAACATGTCCAAAGGGCACTCGTTTGGGGTAGGCTAACACATGCAGTCCATGTCATTTTACCTCTACAAAGCTCAGTTAGCAGCAAAAACTCCCCTTGGCCTGTATCTGATTCTTCTTTTCCAATCGATGCAGCCGAACAGAACTGGACAATGTTTGGGTGGCCAGACAGCTTCTTCTAAAGGATTACAATGGTTAAAGTTTCAAAGGTTTCTGTATTTGGAACACTTTGCAGTTATACAGTAAAGCATAATTCGTTTTCTGGTCTCCAGCCCTTTAAGGAGAAGTCAAGAAAAGGCTACCCCTCCCCCCCAAAAAAAACCCAAACCCAGAATTTCCCAGAAACTCTGTGGCCAAAATCCTATTATTTCTCCCTGCGCAATGGCATGTCAACTGCAGACTGCCACTGATGAAAAACTTCGGTTTTTTGGTTTTGGACTGTTCACAGCTCATATGCAATGAGATGAAGTCACATGCACCCCAAAACTGAAAAAAGGAACTCTTTAATCAGTGGCAATTGGTCACTAAGAATGGCTTCATTCCTACTGCACAGGCAGAACCTGCCCAAAAGGGTTCAGGTTGGTGAACAGCATTATATTCCTCTTTGTCATAGTATGACTTTATAAAATTTAACTTGCCTAGTTAATTTTAGGCTGAGTATTTAAAGGTTAGCTGTGCACAATAACATTCTGTGCTGATTCTGAAATGACAGAGACAATCACAGTTCCAGCAAAGTTCACATAGCACATTTCACTTTATTGTCCATATGTTCAAAATGTCCTGTTCAACTGTGAATTAGGAAAACAAAGCCAAATGAAAATTTCATTCCACAGACCTTCAGTGAACAAAAGAAAGCCAAGACTTATTAAAAACCGAATGTGCTTGTATCTCATTTTTTCATGTATACTGAGATACAAACGGTATCAGAAACTATACATGATATATATACTAGTTTAGTTTGTCTCCAGACACATGTTGCTGGAAATTTATTCCTTATACTACAGTTCAAAAAAAATCTGCTACTTTATTATCAACTGATTTCGCAAAAGGCCCAGTTTAGAGATCCCAGGATTAGCTTCATATGTGCCTTGAACAGTCCCTTAGCTTCTCCATTTATGCCAGCAATGAAACAAAGCAAAGCCATAACTGAATTTTTAATGCTGGAAAATGGTTTAGAGCAGTGGAGCCCAACCTTGGGTACCCAGATGTTCTTGAACTACAATTCCCACAAGCCTTTGCCACAAGCTGAGCTGGCCAGGATTTCTGGGAACTCAAGTCCAAGAACATCTGGGAACGCAAGGTTGGGAACTACTGGTTTAAAGCTAGCTTCTGAATCATGCCTTCTTTGCAAGCCATTAACAATATTTCCCACTTCAGAGTTTGAAATAATATTTTTAAGGATTTTTGCATTTATTTCTAGTTATTACTGCTTTAATTTTAAATGTTGCTTTCAATCTTCAAAAGTAACTAACATAGCTGTTTTCTATTACTTTAAATACAACACTTGAACACTAAATACAAGTCCTGGTCTATAGTACAAAACACTACAAAAAGAGTAGGTTTATCCCTCTTTCAACTGTAAGTTAATTCACTTTCACCTTCAGATAGTTCAAAGCTGAATTAATTACAAGTAATGCAGCTTATGGGAAGAGAGAAGTGATGTGGCAGCAAAGTGGCTGAACGGAAGACACATAGCTTATGCATATCTTGGCTTATTAAGCATAGATTTCATCATGCAAATGCAGATAAAAGTGTTTTTATCTTCTCTTAGAAAGGATACCATAAAACAAACTTCTTGAATGATGGCTTTGTTCTTTTCTTCCTCATTAGACAATAATCTCTGTTAGAAAATAAAGATGTTATAGGTAAAAATCCAACTCTAAATCAATTCCTTTTGGTTATTCATTAAAATACGTACTGTTACATTGCTTTTTATATCATGACAACGACTCAGTATAGGAAATGTTTTAAAAAATTCAAACATGATACTGTATACATTCAAGTAACATCAGCTACAAACATAAGAAGTCACAAAATATCTAAACAGACAACTCACATTAACTAGTTTAATGCCTGCTAGAATAGGAATATCTAAGGAACCCTGCCCCCATGGGAAAGATGTTCCACAACTGGGTTACCCCAAAGGAGGAGGTCATTTCTTTTGTAACAACAGTGCTTAGACATAAGAAAATCAGGTTTTAAAATGTTAAGACTAATAGGGTTCGGAAGATATTAATGCCATCACATGGTGCTGTTTTGTATGTTGTTCTTCGTACTGAAAAATGGCTCCTAAGGTCTACAGGCAACTGCGTTTGAAGAATGTACAGAAGCCATAACCAAGGCAAAAATCTGCTGTGGCTGGCCTCTTCACGGACACATTGCTCGAACTGGATTTCTCCTTCTCCGGTTTAAGCAGTAGCAATTACTTCCGTAGACCAACTCAGATCAAATGCAAACTTTACATGGAAACTTAAGAGCGAGTTCTGGGCCTGTGTATGGATATCCCATGCTATGCAACCCAAGCTATCATGCCTTGGTGCTGATTGAAAGTCTAACTCTGGAAGCCCAGGTGGACAGGGGTGCCTATACCAGCTGTGGCCCTACCTGGACGAGTGGAGTCTCATGACAGTTACACACACACTGGTAACATCTCGTATAGATTATTGCAATGCACTCTACATGCTTCTGCCTTTGAAGACAGTCCGGCGACTGCAACTGGTCCAGAATCGAGCTGCGCGGCTGGTAAGTGGTGGGGCTGCTAGGGGACACATCAAGCTGATTCTGTTTAAATTACATTGGCTACCAGTTGCTGCCCGGGCCCAATTCAAAGTGCTTGTATTGACATATAAAGCCCTAAATGGCTTGGGCCCTGGATATCTGACAGATGACCTCCTTCCATATGAACCTACCCAGCAGTTAAGATCTAGCCATTGGGCCCTTTTGAAAGAGCCGTCCCTCAAGGAGGTTAAGAGTGATGGTTTGTAGACAAAGGCCCTTTTCCGCAGCTGCCCCCAGACTATGGAATGCCCTCCTGAGTGAGATTCATCTGGTGCCGATGCTGATGACATTTCAGTGCCAGGTAAAAAACTTCCTTTTCCAGAAGGCTTTTAATTGAAATACTGTAATATTAACTGAGCGTCCTGATTGCAATTTTTAGAGTATATATTTTAATTGTATTTTAATAGTTTTATCTTTTCTACTATATTTTAATTGTTGTAAGCCGCCCAGAGACCTTTGGGTAATGTGGGCGGCATATAAGTTGAATAAATAAATAATACTGGATGCAAAATTCTTGGCAGTCTAGTTTCCCCTTCAGGCCACTCACTGTATTGTAGTTAAACCTATGCAAGTAACATTTGAGGGACAGTATTTCAGGAGGGGAAGCTTCAGTATTCCCAATTCTCATTATTGGTTCTCTCTCCCTCAGGGAGGGGAAGATCTACGCACTTACATGTAGGTTTGATCAAGAAATGTGAGGAGGACAAGAGACTTCCTCTCATCCCCTCCCAAAAAGTGATTACCCTCAGATTAAGTTGACCAAAGCAGTGTGGTTAGAACGCTGATCTGAAATTTAGAATGTCTGGTTTCTTATCGCTTGGGAGCCATGAAACTCATTGGATGACTTTGGGTCAGTTGCTCTCCATCAACTTGCACGACCCCACGAGGGCTGTTGTGGAGAGAGTGCGAGAAGAATCGTGTATATTGCCTTTCACTTCCTGGATGAAAGATGTGCTCAAAATGTAACTAATAAACATTAAATAACTGGAAAGGACTCTGCCAGATTTACCTTCAAGACCCTTCCCTCCTGTATGTACCTGCCCAGAGTCTGAGAGCCATAAATGCCCTTTTGCACATGCTACTGCTTTGAGAGGCTAATTAGCAGCACCTCAGCTGTGGAACTCTCTCCCAAGGGAAAATAGGCTGTTGACCTTCTAACTGGAAGCTAAAACAATGCTATTTCAAAGGATCTTTGGTTTCTAGGATTTTTTAAAAAGTGGCTTTTAGACAGAATGTTTGGATCTGCATTTAAAGGGTTTTTTTAATCAGCTTCTCAAATTTTGAATCTTTTTTTTTACAAAATGTCATGAGTGACTTTGGAAGTCCTGTTTGAAAAAAAAAACACAAATGCTTTAAATAAACAGAAAGGAACCTCTCAAAGGCTAAATGTATTCAAACACTGAAAAACTATGTGGTCAGCTCTGAGGCAGTCTTATGGGGATGATTCTGGAAACCACCTTTCCAAGTAGCAGAACAGCATGCGACAAGACTGCCAGTGTGGTGAATCCAATGTTATTGCTGGGGAGACACACATTCCAAACCATATATAAAACATTGTATTCACAAAGGGGGGGGGGAGACATAGCCTTTGGCTAGTCACTATTTCTCTGTCTGATCTACCTCAAAAAGTTGTAATGAAGCTAAAACCTCACCCTGAACTCACTTGCAAAGGGAAGGTGTACAGATTGAAGAAATAAGATAAAGGTAACTTTTTCTATCAGTTACTCTTATTTTAGGCATTTCAGGTAAAAGAAATAGCTAACCTATTGCGGCAATAAGACAATTCTAAGCTAATTCACTTGCAGGTTCTTGGATATGATTTTACTAAACTTGACTTTCAACCTGAATACCAAGGTATTCACTTCAATATTATTACTTTTTTATTGCTCATACACAACATTTCTGACTCCGTGCCCTAGAGCCGAATGTGAACATTTGGGTTACCTACTATTCAATGCCCTGGAACAGTCTAGTAGAAATTTAATAGCTTGCAGTTCAGGATAAATAGAAAACAATATGTAGGGTGTCTACAACAAAGGTTTAACGGTTTATCGGCTGTTCTGGGTTGTTCTGAAACATAAGCCTATGCCCAAAAAAGGCAGGGGAGAAACCTCATTTGAAAGGTTTCCCGTGTATTCAGTCACTCTCCTCCTGCTATCACCTCAAATGAGTTTGCAAAAACATACAATATCAAATGCCACCACCACAATGACTCTGTGTGCCTGCACTGCGCTAGGGAGGAAAATGCCTCATGGGCATATCATTAACCAGGAGAGTCCCGCATTTGACCCAGCCTCCACTTTCTTCCCAAGAACAGCAGAAAAGTATATATTTAAGCCAGTGCATTGGTAGCAGGCAGAGCTCATTTATCTACTTAAAATTGCTTAATTTTCATGTTGCCTTTCCATGAAAAACCAGCACAAGAAGCAGCCAAAAAGAATAAAATACATATTAAAACAAAATTATGTTTAAAGCTCAAGGAAAAAAAATAAATACAAGTCCACTTAAAAACCACGATAAAAATCACATTGAAAGACAAGGCTAGCACCCAAACTGTTAAAACCCCTTCTAAACGAGGGTGAGTGGGTGGGTTGTCTTTGCAAGGCCCCCTTCCAACAAAGGCCTACCTGAATAAAAAGGTCTAGTAAAAAGACAATAAAGTTAACAAAACCCTCCTCAAAAAGGACTTCTGGAGTACGAGGGCAACTACCATTCCCTCATTCAACTATCTTCCAAGCCTGAAGTTTTCACCAAACAGCAGAACAAAGTAGGAAGAAAACTTTGGTTTTCCTTCACTGGTGTATCTGCATTGACAGAACATGGTTGCCCTCATCGCTGAGAGAGTCCTTATTACAGCAAAACACTCAAAAGACAGCAAACAAGAGCTAACGTTGTCTAGGGACCTAGATAACTCCAAGGGCAAACACATGATGACTGTGGTTGGTACCGAGAAGATACTGGATGGGAAAAGAATCAGCTGAAGTTGGTGGCATGCATTATTTCACATGCCTGTCATCTCTAACTGAAAACTCCAAGAGCAGTAGCATTCATTTTATTTATTTTATTTATTTAGACTCACCAACAACCGGGGGTCTGAGCAGTATACATTAAATTAAATACTGTACATAAAAGAACCTATGGCTAAATACAATAACAGCAAAATCAAGATAAAATTAGCCACAAAGAATAAAAAATATTGCAGTACATAAAACTGGAGCACAATTAGCAACAAAGTGAGCAGAGCCAAGAGCTATCAGCAATTAAATCGGTTCTTAAACACTGCTGCCACCATGGCTAAAAGAGGGTTTCCAGCAGTCATAATCTAAAACAGCAGAGGACAAGAGGTTGGGGAATCACTTCTACTATGACTTACAGCACCTTTACCAACTACAAATTAAACGTAGCTACAAGCATTATCTCATGCAAGCCATTAGAATTTAAAAGAAGAGACAAATGTTTCAGACAAGCTGGAAACTGAACTGATTCATTATGAGCTAATGTATTTGACATTCACTGCATTTCTATTAAATGAGATTAGTAATGAAAAGATATAGCCAAGGAGCAAAATGCAGAAAAAGAAAGAAAGAAATGGGGGGGGGGAGGATATTTACCTTTAAAGCATAATCTTTGCCACTTCCAAGATCCTGAGCTTCATATACAAAAGCAAAGCCACCTAAACAGAAAAAAAGATAATGGTGAAACCTAAAAGGCTTCTAATAATGTGTTAAGACTTCAGGAACAGAACCAGTTTTCCCACTTCTCAGGATGTCCTATCAATCCAGTCAATTTCTTACATTTATGTCCCTACCTTCTAATGATTCAAGGTCATGTATATCAGGGGACCCCAACCCCCGGTCCATGGCCCAGTGCTGGTCCATGAGCTTCCTTGAACTGGGCCGCAGACACGGATCTCCGGCACCCTGCCCGCACACATGGTGGGCATGTTGTGGTCGCGGGCAGGCATGTTGCACTCATGCGCACGAGCATGCTATGCCCCTCTGCAAAGCGCAGCACGCCCACCCGCAAGCATGCAGGGTCCCCCCCCACGCACAGAGCCCACACACCCCAACCAGTCCACAGTCTGACAAAGTTTAGGGACCACTGGTGTATATAGCTTTTCCACACTAAATCCTTCGTACAGCCCTGAGAGGGAGGCCATAGTGAGAGATGATTGGGCCAAGAATACCCTATGAATTTCATGGCTCAGTGGGGAGTCTCTGGACCATACTCTGAATCATCCTAGTCCAGCAGCCTATCCCACTGTATCTGTGTGGCTCTCATCAGCTACCTCAAGTGCAGATAGCACCACAAAAGGTACTCCCAGATTATCCTTCCATTATTACTTCAGCCAAGGATCCTTTTGGACAAGAAAGTGTTAGGTAACCCTGGGCAAGCATGCTTTTCAAACGGTGTTCTCATAAAGTTCAGTATTCCTTGGAAAGGTACTGGCAGTGGCGGATAAGCTTCTTTCATATTGCACACCAGTCCCTCTACAAACGTTTAAATACACTGTATACTGACAATTTGCCATTAAAACAACACATCCAGGAAGTGATGACTTCAGCAGCGTGTTTGCAAAAAAAGATAAACCAACCATGAGGTACTGTCATTTTCGTATGTTAGGAACTCCACGTGTGGCCTTAGAAATCTTTCAGGCTGTTTAATGGCTTATTGCTAAATAGACTGCTCCCGGGACAACAGTACATTCCCTGATAACAGGAAACATGACAGCTCTGAATCACGGGTTGAATTAGTTCTTTTGCAAAGTGCATCTTATAAATCACCACATTGCATAATCTCGCAGCTGCTGTTGGTTTTCGACGCAGCAATTGCAAACTGACCCAGAACTGAAGACTCAAAACTTCACAGAATAGACACACTTCAGCTGAACCTACATATACAGTATCCAAGTTAATTGTTTCTAGGTGATTACTGAAAAACTTGTTCCAGTCATCTTTAGAAGCATAGTTCAAAAATGAGTTCTGCTCTTTCTGTTAGCTGTGCTTATTTAACATTTTTTTTCCAATGCATGACTGATTCACGCTTTTTAATTTTTTTCGCTTAGGATACACCTTGTATTTAATTTTTTAAGCCACTGCAAATATTTTGGGCAGAAATGCGGGACAGAAACAAACAGCAGAAATAGGGAACAGGAAGACTATACTAAGTCAGAGCTTATGTGTATATCTGATCTTTTTTGTTTCTCATTTATGTTGGGACTTGGCCAAAGGGGTTTCCACAGTAGAAAGATCAGCCAGCATCTGATGATGGAAAGTCATTTAAAATAATTTCCTATGTTAAAGAAACCTTCAAAAATCAAATTACAAAACATGTTATTTTTCCAAAACTGTAATTACGAAACCATTGTGTTACCATAAGTAAATCTTTCTGACCAACACTCTGGCTTCCCACTTCTGGGGCATTTTCGTCTTTAATATGTAAGATGATAAGATGCTCTTTCCTGCTGTCTCGATTGATAAACAAAACAGTCAGCTACCTCACTCTGACACATGTATAGATGTGACCCAAGAGGTAGTTCACACAGAGACACATATCATTTGATGATTATATAATATACATTTTGTGAAATGGCAAGCAATTGAACGTTGGATTTTCTATTATTTTAAGCCACCTAGTGATGACATAAAGGGTGTTCATGAATTTAGCTGCAAGTCTTTGCAATGAGTAATCCAGTTGAAGTGTGTGTATGAATCAATTCTACACAAAGTTTCCCTGTCATTTATAACTCAAACTGTTGTATCCCTTTATCTGTCACCTTTTAAAAAAAGAGATACTATATTTCAAGATATAAAAAAAGGAAAGAAAAGGTAGTGAAGATACATCACATAGTCACTCAGTGACACTCAGCAACCTCTGTCTTTGCCTCCCTCAGTTACTACTGACATATCCACTCATTTTATTTCTCACTACTTTTTCTCACTGTTTTGTTTATCTCTTTAGACAACAGGAAACAGCATCTTATCATTTTACACATTAAAAACAAAAATGTTCCAGAAGTATGAAACCAAAGTACTGGTCAGAAAAGTTTGCTTATAATGTGCTGATTTTGTAAATCAAGTGTTTTGAAAATACAAATAGGCCTGCTCTAAATGCTTGTATAGATACGTTTCAATATCTTGCATGACACTTGAAAAGATGTGGTCCAAGCTGCGTTGGTCTCAGCCATGAAGACAAAGATTTCCTATATTACTTATTATTGATGGGTACTTTAAAGTATACGAAAACTTTGTTGTGACTGGGAAAAATCACAGACAAAGCCCAAGACCACATTTTGCCATAGCAGAACAAAATTATATTATATTAATAAATTCATATTGTATTATATATTGTTCAATAATATATTATTTTAGCTATATTATTTTAGCCGCCTAGAGTGGTCTTAACTGACTAGATAGGCGGGATATAAATAAAATAAAATTAAATAAATAAATAAATATATAATATAATATGGCACTGGATACCTTAGTGAGTTGGAGCTTACTTTTGAGTAAACATATGCAAGTGTATTAAAATCTATTTTGAATTATAAGCTTATGTGCATCTGTTGTCCTGAAGAGTCCCCTGGAGAAATAGTTAAACTGCAGTACTGCAATCAACACCCCACTGTACCTCCTTGGTAAAAAGCAATGTCTTTGTGGCCTTGGACTAGCTTCATGGGTTCAGAGCACAATTGGAAGGAAGCACTGCTAAACCATTAGATTACAGTGGTGCCTCGCACAGCGAGGTTAATCCGTTCCGGATTAACCCTCGCTGTGTGAAAGCATTGTTGAACGGGGCAAGAAAACCAATTGGAACACATTAAACAGTGTTTAATGCGTTCCAATTGGGCTGAATACTCACTGTTCAATGATGCTGGCAGCCATTTTCGCGCCCTCCCCTCGCTGAACGAGGGCGCGAAAAAGTCATCAACCCCATTGCCAAAACCATTTGTTTCGCAAGTTTTTTGTCCTGCGAGGCATTTGTCTTGCGAGGCACCACTGTATATGCTTATGTGCATATTTGTTGTTCCTGAAGGGTCCCGTGGAGAAATGATTAAATTGATTAAACTGTAGTACTGCAGTCAAGCCTCTGCACATGACCCGAGTTTGATCCTGATGGATCCAGGTAGCTGGCTCAAGGTTGACTCAGCTTTCCATCCTTCCAAGGTCAATAAAATGAGTCATCCAGCTTGCTGGGTGGCCAAGTGTGCTGTAAACTGTCCAGAGAGTTCTTCTAGCATTATGGGGTGGTATATACATCAAAAGAACAACAACGTCATGTGTAGTCACCAAGACATGATAATGCTTAATACAGTGAGGATTTTCCACCATATTAAGACTTCACTATACAGTATAAAGCACTGGCATGATCTGGTGGCCACTTGGCTCAGGTAGCCCTACCTTATAGCAAAAGATTACTTAAGGCATTCCATGTGATTTTGCCAGAAAAAAAGTTTCTGCATACTGCAAAGTACTCTCAAATAACAAATACTTCAGCAAAGGTCTTTTTACTCCCACAAACAGTCCAAAATATAAGAGTCTGAAAACATTTTTTTCAAATAACAACTTCCAGAATCCCACAATCAATTCCCCCATGGAATTGTTCTGGGAGACCAAACCCAGATGCCCCACTCCTAGACTTTTCCCAGTTTTAGCTAAATGAAATCTCCTTTCAAGCTTCTAAAAATGATAATTCAGGCGGCTATCACGAAAAAAGTAAAAGCATGCCCTTGGTGTAATACTAAGCACTGTCACAGACCTTAGCCCATTTGGCAGCATGGGCACAGGAGGCCTGGAGACAAAGAATAGAGCCTAGCCCACCATTCACTGGAGTTGCAACCCAAATTGTTTCTGATGCAGTTCAGGAGAAACCTCTACCTTGTTTCTGAACAATCTCACAGTTCAGTCTCTACTGGGTCTTTACACAGTGCTAGACTCAAACCAAAACTTGGAATATGCATGGAATGAAACTTGTTCTCACGTAATGCAGGGGTAGGGAACCACGATCCATTGCAAGGCTGGATAATACAGTACTGGGGTGTGACCGCAGGAAAGGGAGCAGATAAGCAAAAAAGTTTCAGCCACCACTGAGTGCCAAAGTTGGGGGCTTAACACCGTGGTTCCAAACCTTTTTCAAGTTGCAACCCCCTTTCGTAATAGCCAAGTAACCTGCAACTCCCCACACACACACACCATATTTGCATAAAAAGGCTAATCCCCTTTCGTAATAGCCATATAACCAGCAACTCCCCCACACACACACCATATTTCCATAAAAAGGCATTTTTAAAGGGATAAAGAAATATTTTCTCAGAAAACAGAAGCTTCTTTCTCCCATAATATTTTCTCAGAAAACAGAAGCAAAGGGTTTGTTTCTCATACATACGTATATAAGCTGACTTTAATGTCTGGCTCCGAAAGGTCAAGGAAGAAATTATTTAAGAAGGGCTGCGAACACATATAAGGAGACCCACAAACTCCCAGAAAATACTTCATGGCCCTTTTGGGGTCTCAACCGCCAGATTGGGAAACACAGGTCTAACAGATGCCTCCAAAGGCTGACTCAACCAGAACGCTTTGCTCTGCCTTCCTCTTCCTTGGCCAGGGAAGGAGATACTTCATGGCCCTTTGGGGGTCCCAACCGCCAGACTGGGAAACACAGGTCTAACAGACG